CTGCGCCCCACCTGACAGGCTGTGGAGAAATGGTACTGACGACGCTCATCTCCACCCAGTTGATCATGTGTTCCTGCTCCATACGGCGCTTGAGGTTCTGAAGTGCCACATGGTAGTCCAGACGCCTCTTCACCTCATTAGTCACCATGTGTAGGCGCTCTCTGTAGTTGGTCTCCAAAAGCATGGCGACATTGTTCTGCAAAGTGTAGTTTAATCTTTTCTTTTAGCTGAACAGCACCACATGCTGGACAATTGGCTGTGTTTTTTGTCAATGAAAGTCATAACAAAAATATGTTGCTTAATAAAAGTAGACACCAATGTTGCTCACCCTCTTAGCATCAAAGAGAAGCGACCTCCCTTCTGTTCTCCACTGTTCCTTTTTCTCATTCTCAATGGACTCAGTCATTGAATTCAGGGTCAGGTCTTTAACTACCTGAGCCTTGGCCAATTTTTCCTGACAAAACAAATGTCATATTTTAAAGTGTACAAATTGTAGTAAATATTTAGCACGACTCCATCTGTAAAAAATGAAATGACTGTCAAACATAAAACTCAAACGTCAGTTGTAGACATACGTCATTGAGTTGGTCAGCATAAGCTGCAACTTGTGGACCAAATTTCTTCACACCATAGACGATGACAGACAACATTGCAAGTCCAGCATATGTCTCATGGTTGATGACATAGATTTCCTTAGACAGCAGGTAGACCAGGAGACCAGTCCCCAGCATGTAGAAAAGAGAGAATGTAATGTTGGAACATTCTACTGTGCTGATTTGTTTTGTTTTATTGCTAGATCAGGTGTATCATATTGACCTTCATCATTAGAAACATTTTAGGATTTAGACTTGGCAAGGAATTAATCTGCTGTACTTTACTTTTTGCGCATCTACATGTTTGGAAACCAAATTAAATTCCCCAATCCTGGGAGAAGGACAACCAACCTGTAACTCCGGTTTTGGGATACAGGAGCTGGAAAAGCTCCTCTGGGAAGATCCCATGACGAACTTTGCCTCCATGCTCAGGCATAGGGGGCATTGGGGCCAGACACTGCGATGATGTGTGCAGGCCACGAGATGCCTGGACAAGGCTGTAATTAAAAACCAATTGAATATTACAATACAGTCTTCAAAGATTTTATATTGGTTGATGATCATCTTGGTCAATAAACCAGACACCCACCCAGCTCCTAGGCACCCGGTGTTTTTCAGGGCCCCAGCTGTACACAGCAGAAATTAAAAACAAAACATCACAAGTTAAAAAACGTTTGAAATGTAGATTATTGACTAATTTCTTCAACAACAACTAAGCAACGTCATAACTGTTTCGACATTTAAATAAAATAATAGGCTTGCAAAAACAGAGCATATACAACAGAATGTAAAATTGATGTAAAATTATTTATTCTCCTGATTTTAGACAAGTGCATGAAACATTTTTCTGAATGTCGCTTCGGATAAAAGCGTTTGCTAAATGTAATATCCTTAATGTCACTTAAGAAATGATATGATATCAATGTGTATGTCTGTGAATAATGTTTTAAATCCCCCGTCTTCTCGTGTTACCCTTATGCACGCAATTTCTAAAGCAAAATCACAACTCTGTTTTACGATATTGTTACGGCTTGTTCAAATTTATACTACATCGCTGTCAACGAGGTGACATTAGCAGACATGCAGAAAGCTTAAGTTAGCCACCTTAGCTTGTTTACACACGCTACCAAATGAGTGAAGCATATTTTAATAACGTCTTTAAAACACTAATTCACTTCTACAGCATTTGCTATTTCCACAACACGCTAACATTTGCGAGCAAACACAGCATTTGTCTCTAACACCTAGCATTAGCATCATCTCTCTCATTCAATGTGAGGCCTTCACTTTACCCTTCACATTCACTTTAAAGCTTTACATTTCCTGCTAAAACATTACACATTCGTCACAGCTGAATGGGTTACATGGCATAACAATAAGTTAAACAAGTGCGTACCTGAAACAAAGACGAGTCTGGACAGCATGTTTAAAGGACAAAAGTGCCAAGTTGTTACTCTAACTGGGCAGCCGTGTTTCGGCCTCTCTATGCCCTTCTGCAAAGAGACGTCACTATGGCGGACACGCTGCAAGTCACGCTGAAGTATCGCGAGATCACAAGTGATGCTTCCGTTAAAACACTAAAAGAAAACTACCTGTGGAGGGCGCTGCAGTAAAAAAAAGTGAAGGTCCGGGGGAAAATACGTGTATTTTAAAATAAAGATTTTTGAGGATTCCTGGAGTAACAAATTCTACCAGTACGGCAGGAATCAGATCCCAAACCTGGAGCAAATTCCAACTCCATTGAGAGAAAAATATATTCTACTCATAATTTAGGTTTTCTACATCATGGAAAGCTGTATTGCACAACGTATAAGGGAAACTATAGTTTGCAAAACACATAGACTAAGACTACAGAGTCTTTCCTATTATGTACCTTTGATCACAAATTTCAGAACAAAGAGAACATAGGAGGAACAAAGAGAACACAGGATTGTACCAGAAGGGCAGGAATCAGATCCCAAACCTCGTGGATATCTATTTTGGGTAGGTGTGAAAATTAAGTATTTGCCAACATTTGATATTTAATACTTTTTTAACAACTCCTTAAACTTTATATACTGTATATTTAAATATTCAACTACCTATAAACTACCTTTATTAGATCAGGTCAAGCTGGAGCAAATTCCAACTCCATTGAGAGAAAAATATATTTTACTCATAATTTAGGTTTTCTACATCATGGGAAGTTGTATTGCACAACGTATAAGGGAAACTATAGTTTGCAAAACACATAGACTAAGACTACAGAGTCTTTCCTATTATGTACCTTTGATCACAAATTTCAGAACAAAGAGAACATAGGAGGAACAAAGAGAACACAGGATTGTACCAGAAGGGCAGGAATCAGATCCCAAACCTCGTGGATATCTATTTTGGGTAAGTGTGAAAATTAGGTATTTGCCAACATTTGATATTTAATACTTTTTTAACAACTCCTTAAACTTTATATACTGTGTATTTAAATATTCAACTTATACTACTCAGTTTTTTTCTACATCATGGGAAGTTGTATTGCACAACGTATAAGGGAAACTATAGTTTGCAAAACACATAGACTAAGACTACAGAGTCTTTCCTATTATGTACCTTTGATCACAAATTTCAGAACAAAGAGAACATAGGAGGAACAAAGAGAACACAGGATTGTACCAGAAGGGCAGGAATCAGATCCCAAACCTCGTGGATATCTATTTTGGGTAAGTGTGAAAATTAAGTATTTGCCAACATTTGATATTTAATACTTTTTTAACAACTCCTTAAACTTTATATACTGTATATTTAAATATTCAACTACCTATAAACTACCTTTATTAGATCAGGTCAAGCTGGAGCAAATTCCAACTCCATTGAGAGAAAAATATATTCTACTCATAATTTAGGTTTTCTACATCATGGGAAGTTGTATTGCACAGTGTATAAGGGAGATAATTCTGCACAGAACAGCTCTGCCACAGCTTTTCCACAGCACATGAAGGGTGGTAAACAGCATCCATCTGTAATCTTGGGGCCCAGCCATGCGTGGCATCAGTTTGTTGTGAGTGGCTGCTGAGATAGAGGAACATATGACGTTGTGCTTCGTTGGTTCACTTCCTGTTAAATTATGCTGCACAGAAACAGCAGCTACACAGAAAAAGCCTCCGTACATTCTTTTAATGAGAAAATTGATAATATTTCATTCACCACATGATGGATTTGAAAACATGGCGTAGTAGGTGAGTTCTCTGTATGTGTTTATAAATAAAGAGTTTGGTTTTTTGCAGCATCATGTACATTTTCCCTCCACTGCCTCAGTCGACTGTTACCAGGCCTGGGTCTGTCTCTGATATGAGCTTTCACACTACGGCTGTTTATTTTAAGAGATGCTGCTGCATACTTTACTTCCCACACTTTTCATTGGCAATTAATGACTTCAACAATCGCACAAAGCATCTTTCCTGTGTCTTTTAGTTTTTATATTCTCCAAAAACCTTAAGCGATAGACAGCCACAAAGGAGTGTTTTTCAGATGAATCACCAACAGAGCATAGAGCGATATTTTACACAAAGGAAATTGAGTGAAAAATAGTGTCGCTAGCTGAGAAACATGCACAGCAATGTATGTGTAAGGTTATAATTATAATTGATCAAATGTGTGTACATACTGTAAGTAGGTAAAAACTCAATGTATTTAGCTCTTCATTTGTTTCCATGTGTTATTATTATTATTATTATTATTATTATTATTATACTAGAGTTTCTAGAGTTATTATTAGTTTAATTTTTTTTATTAGACACCTGTTTGTGTTTTCACATCTGTGTATTTTTTTAAGTTACAACGATTACTTGTTGTGCTTCCACTGCAGGCTGGAGACACATTATCAGTCAGCAGAGCCGTGATGGACATCCTGTATCATACACAGTTTCCAGAAGTCAGAGGTTTTGACAAAACAGCTGTGGTGAGAGCCGAGAAACGTGAACTCCTGAGAAGACGAAACAATGTGACGTTGTGTCGGAGCCAAAACAGAGATTTTGAAGGAAAACTGATCAAAAGTGAACTGAAGGAAAAAAGGCAGCTGGAATATCTGAAGAGGAGATCAGTGAGCCCAGAACTGTGTGGCGTCAAGTTGACGAGGACTAAAAACTCAACAAAGACCATGTCAGTGAAGCCTCTCAGTTATCACATGTATACAAATGTCACGACCATTCCTGCCAACGGACATAAAAAGGTGGTTTCAGCAGAAGGCAGCAGCACAGCTGATGATCCAAGCAGCAGCGCAAGGGTAAATAAAAAAGATCGTTGTACTGCATCATCAGATGTTTCCTCTGTTTTGCTCCACACAACATAAACATCTGTATCTTAAACGTCCTCCTCAGGCCTCCTCATGGACAGAGCAGGTAACGTTAGTGACCCAAGAGAAAAGTGAACCAAAACAACAAGATTCTACCTCCACGACAGAGATGAAGGACCTGAACCAGAGCAGAACAGAAAGAGCGATAGACGACGAAGGTAAAAAAAATTGCTGACCAACTTGAAGATATTTTTTAAATGATGACCACATCGTCTTTGATCCTTTATCAACTTTTTCCACCAAATCAAGCTTCGAGCCTCACCAGAGAAGACCAGAGAGAAGGTTCTCACCAAACAACAGTTCACACAACCAAAATCATCTCAACACACCAAGAGGCCGCTGTGCAGACAGAGTGAGTGTGACTTTATCTTAATGTCATTGGTGTGATAAAAACAGTAACAGTTCCAGAATAACAACGTGAACCGTTTCTTCCCACACCTGCAGGTCCGGCCTGGTCACTGTCAAGGAATCAGTGAGTTTTTAAATTGCTGCTAAAATGATCATGGCTAGCTGTTAGCATTCACTCAGAACCACATCTATCTGTAATTATTCCTGTTTTTGTTTTTGCTCCTGTAGGATATCCAGCAGCTGGGTCAGTACTTAGAGGTAACACAAACACAAATGTTTAGCACTTGTTTCTCTTGAGTTGCAGGAAGTTGTCTTTGAACTTTGATTTAGGGTCAAAAACAAACTTTTTTGACTTCCTATTATATTCCAGCTAATATCTGTGGTTGTTGTTGATAATGGCCTTCCTCCGTCTGTTCTCTCTCAGGAGGCCTTGTTGAGAGAAGCAGCAGCGAACAAGAAGCTGTTAGCTCTGAAAGAGAGCACCTCCAGTCTCATGAGCTCCTCAGATACTACATGGACAGTGAGTTAACTTTTTTTTTTTAAAAGCACACACTTTTAAAGTATTCTTATGTTTAGGGTCGCAGTGTTGTTGTGATAAACATGTTTCTCGGAGGGTTGTGTGTGTAGCCTGTACGCGGCTGCTGTCGCCTCAGGAAGACGAGTCTGCAGCCTGTGGTTTGGAGCTTCCTGCTTCCTCTCAGGTCTAAACTTCACAGATGGAGAGTTAGCTGTCGTTCTCATACAGGAAGGGCGTCATAGCTGCAGTTGCTCTTATATGAGATGATAACCATCTCTACCAGTCCTTTTAAGGCGGTATGGGCTGATGTGTATGTGTTTTATGTATTATGTATCATTTACTCTAGTTTTGGTTTAGTTTTACAGAATATATTTTCCCATTCCACTCAGACAGTATAATGTAAAATACTGTTTTTTCCTCAGGGTCATTGATGCAGATTTTCTGTTGACACCTGTGTTGTCAGTTGTCACTGTTTTCACTACATGACCCATCAGACTCTGCAGGTACCAGAGTGACAGTCAGCCATTTTCCTCTCTAGCCCACACAGGCTCCCTGCAGTGAAGATCTGCTGAAGAGCAATATCGAGGCTCTGGAGGCGCAGCTGCAAGTCTGTCTGCAGGTAAGAAGAGTGTGTGTTTCATCAGATGCTGCTCTCTCTCTCTATCTGCAGCTACAAAAACATTTACTCAGACATGTTGGGGTTTTTTTTTAGAAGGTTCCAAAGGAAATGAAGAAACTGGTGAAGCAGATGGAGAAGAAGAAAGTTATATATGAGGAGAAAACCCTGCTCACTCTGAAGACGATCACTCAAGAAAAAACGGATGCAGTGAGCAAAGCTGAGACTCTGCAGGTCCTGACATCTGTGTCACTGTTCAAATGCTGCTCACCCCTGCAGCAGAATGTTGACAAAACTTTGCATTTCTGACCACAGGAATCATTATCCACGGCAGAGGCAGAGTCACTGAAGTGGAAGAACCTCTACCAGGAGCTGAAGCTCAGCTATGAACAACTCCAAGAAAACCAACACCTCAGCAACGAACAGCTGCAGCAGCTACACAGAGAAGTGGAGGTACGAGCTGGGCCGAGGTGAGGGCCGAGAAGATTGGATTTCACCCCTTAAAAAACACGTTGGTGTGTGTTTTGCAGCTGTCCAGATCCAGAGAGGATGAGATGAGGGACACAGTGGTGTCTCTGAGACAAGTCAACGAGGAGCTGCAGAACAACATTGGTCTGCTGGAAGAGGACAACCACAGTTTGAAGGAGGAAATACAAAACCTTAGGGGTGAGAGAGAGAAAACAAAGCTAGTTTTTTAAATAGTAGTTTCCAAACAGTGTCTTCAGTCTTGACTCTTAAATAACTGTAAGTGGCCCACACTACCAGGTTTACTTCTGTCTTCTGTGCTGTAGATAGAATGTGTTTCTATCAACCAACCAACCATGTAAAGAAAGATGATTCATTATCTGTTCACTAGAAAACGACAGTGAGCGCCGGGACGTAGTCATGCAGGATCATCTGACCTCACAGAATGTAAACAAACAACTGACACTGAAGACAGACTTTCAGGTGGAAGAACAGCTCCGTCACACTCAGGAGAGACTGCGCCTCAAAGAGGAAGAGGTAAAGCAGGGACGTCCGAGATTTACCGTAACTGTTCGATAAACGGACGCCTCGTAAATCCACCAGACAGCTAGAGTATTACCTGCAACCAAATCAATACAGAGTGTGTGTGTGTGTGTGTGTGTGTGTGTGTGTGTGTGTGAGTGCTTGTGTGCTGTGCAGTGTGACGAATTGCAGACAGTGCTGAACACTTTGGAGCAGGAGTGTCAGTCCACTCAGGGCCGACTGTCGCAGTGCAGGGATGAACTTCGACAACTCAGCCACTGTCGCAGTGAACAGGTGAGAGCGGAGTGTGTGTGTGTGTGTGTGTGTGTGTGTGTGTGTGTGTGTTAGGACACTGCATGTTGATGCAGTCATAAAGAACTACAGTAAAAGACGACTGTGACTTTATATCAAACATTGTCTTCTCTTTCTGTCCAGACTCACTGTGGCCCCTGGTGGAGGGTGTGGGTCGTCTTCCTCCTCTTCCTCGCCATCATGAGTTTCATCATCCTGTGGCTGTGCCACCCTCAGTTCAGGGAGCAAATAGACAACTTGTACTCAGACATAGGGACTCGAATCGAGAACTATCTCCTGGAAATGGTGTCTCCTCGACACTCGGGCTGTTTTCGGCCCATGTGATGACGTTGTGTGTGGTGTCCTTGTTTTATAGTTGTATTTTTATGGGATATAGTGGTTTCTTTTTTTAATGACTTAGTGTGTTTAGTGTTTAGTGTGTGGAATGTCTAACGCAGACTGAGATAACGTTTGACTGTTCAAATATACACGCACAGCAAAAAAGTTTTTCATTCATTCATTCAACGTCCATCTCATTATGTCCAGCTCCATCGACTGTGTTCAAGTCAGGGCTGGAGTCAAGACCAGGGTCAAAGAGGTCAAAACAAAGATGTCCCATCATTTACTTTAGAAGTTGTTTTTTTTTTGTTTGTTTCACAGTGGAAACGTTTTGTCCTCATGTCTGTTTATAATGTGGCTGTGAGTGTTATTATTGCTGTTGACGTTGGAGACCTACAAATAGTCACAATACTCTGTGTTGGTACACTACAGTTCTGATCTTTCCCTGTCGTCTTCACAGGAGTTCTCATTATCACTCTGTAAACAGATCCCGCTGAGATTTAAATAAATGAATCCTCTTTAAACCTCTGTCAACACACGTGGACAGAGACAGAGACAATGGAGAGAGAATTTAAAAAAAAGGAGTTTATGTGAAAATAATCACTGTAGTCCAAACACAACACAACTGAAGTGGTTAGAAATGAAACAAACGTAAATACAAGTTAATCATTTACAATAAGTTATTTCTGAAAATACAGTGAAGTCTGTGTTTTCACCAAATCTTTGATGATATTTCTGCTGTAAGGAAGGATGATATAAAACATTTTAATATAAAATCTTGTTATTAGTCAACTTTGAATATTATTTTATGATAATTAAAATTAAAGCTTAATTACATTTTCATTGATTAAATTATCTAATATGACAAAAGAGTAAAAGCAAATGCAGCCATAATTCCTCTTAAAACAGAGATAAAACTGTAAACTAATACACTTGAAAACACTAAATAAACACTATAAAAAATTCAGTAAATACTCACTAAAACACACCTGCTCTATTCTGCACCAGCATCATTATTCCCCCAAGAATAACCACACACACACACACACACACACACTCACACAAAGGTCAGGGTGATAGTACTGTTGTTCTTTGTACTCGTTGGTTCAACTGTTCCAGATGGGGTTCCATTCTGAACAGGCACTGACGCAGCACATCCAGCACACAGAGCAGCAGCTCCGGCCTTTTCACTGACATTTACCTGCATGTTCCTCCAATACCCAACACTGATAAGTGAAGAGACGCCTCTCTGCTGGTCTGAGGTCAGTCTTCCGGGTAACGTGCTATATACAGTTCACAGGCTGTGCAACATATTTCACAACATCACAAAGTGATTCTTGGCCAACTGTTAGGTACAGAGCTGTAGATCTGTGAAGATGAGGACGGCGCCTCTGCTGCTGCTGCTGCTGCTGCTGCTGACTTGCTGTTGGTCACACTTTACATCTTCACTGAAAATCGCTGCCTTTAACATTCAGAGCTTCGGAGAAGCAAAGGCAAATAACAAGAGGGTGATGGACATTTTACTAAAGGTACTGTGGTACAGGGTGTGTGTGTTTGTGTTTGGAGGTTAAAAAAAAACCCAAAAACTTAAGTTCCTTTTTCCTCTCCAAGATTCTTTCTCGCTTCGACTTGTCTCTGATCCAGGAGGTCCGAGACGCCAAAGGAAAAGCAACACAGACTTTAGTTAAAAGTCTTAACAGGTACAATTATAGCCTTGATACAAGAACAGATTATTTGTCTGTCATCTGGTAAATAATATTTAACATCATGGCTGTGCTCTGCAGCTTTGACAAATCCAACTCCTACTCCTACGTGGTCAGTGAAAGACTGGGGAGGAAAAGCTACAAGGAGCAGTACGTCTACATTTACAGGTAACTGCTAATTCAACAATCGTTTGTGTTGATTCTCAGGCGACTTTGATAATCACTGTTGTTTTTTCATCTTCAGGAACAACATGCTGCAGTTCAAGGAACATTTTCACTATCCTAAAGTAGACACAGGAACAAACGAGACGGTTTTCTCCAGGGAGCCCTTCATCGCCCGCTTTCACTCACACACGACATGTGAGAATGAACACATCGGGACTAAAAACAAGACTGTGGTGCTGTATTTGTACTGAAGGGAACAGAAGCTGTGACATAACAACGCCCACGATGACTAGACACATTCAAAGTTATGAGACAAAAAAAAGACTAAAATCTGGAGTCAGAAATTAGAGAAAAAACGTGCTGTCACTTTGAACGTCATTTAATACTTTCCGCTCCTCATATACCAGCAATATGAGCAACATTAAAACAGTAGGCGTTAGAGGCTAACCACAGTTTATATCTTAAATAAGACTATTTATCCAACACCCCCTGCAGTGAAATAGCCAAGTCGAAGTTCCATTTTGTACCACTAGAGGGAGCCCAAGTAGCACCAGTGGTACACATACCATTGTTTGAGAACCAGGATTGTATAACATAGATGCTAACAGGGTTATTGTGTAGCATATTAAGGAAAAGAACCTGAAGGAAATGAGTGAAGTCCACAAACGAATGACAGCCTAGATCCTGTGTGATGTCAACAGCATGTTCTAAATAATTGTTACTATTTATTTCTATTTTGTCCTGTACAAGTGGTGAAGGATTTAGTTCTGATTGGTCAGCATACCTCCCCAAAAACAGCCATGAAGGAGATGGATGAGCTGTACACAGTCTTCAAGGAAGTTTACAAGACGTGGCAAACAGACGTAGGTTCCAACACCACAGAATCCAAAGAAAAAAAAAACTTTTTTGTGTGACAACCTTCTGCAGATGATCCCAGATCAGTTAGAGATCCTTTCATCATTCCTAATATTAGTTTTTTTTTCTATTTTTACTTTTAATCCTTTGTAGTTGGAGTTAATAAATGTAACATCTACCTGAAAGGAACTCTGACAGACACAGTACAATAGAAAAACAGTAGTGAATAACAGTCTTCAGTTGTGATGTGTGCAGTCAGACGACAACCTGACGGACGGAGAATGTGAGTTCATCGAACAGAGAGAATGAAGTTGTTTGGCTGTTAACTGTAGGATAGTAATTCATGAGACTGTGATGAGAACAGACCTGGACTAACAGACCCAGCAGTGTTTGAAGAACTCAAAACAGACCAGATTAGGAGCTAAAGATTTGGGAGTTTGATTTCTAGGAATGATGGAGGATTTCTAACAACTGTCTGAAGACGGTGAAGAGTCCAGAGAGTTTGAAAGATTCTGATGATGCCTTGAAAAGAAGTAGATTCATTTTGATTATACAAATCCCTGGTGTTAATGGAGTGTCATTAGGTGGAGGCGAAGACTAACGGAGCAGCAGGCCTCCTCAGATCACCAATTGACTACACAGTTGAAGCTACACTCATATCTATATATTCCGTGCTCATTTGTCCTGTAGTTTCTCTAGAAACAGTCAAGAATCAAAGTAGTTTAGTTCTCAGTTCCTGGACCCTCCTCTTCGTCCTTATCCCTGTTCTTCTACACTCCAGAATGTAATAATCCTTGGAGATCTCAACGCCGACTGTAACTACGTCACCATCAAAGGCTGGAGATCTGTCCGTTTGAGGAGCGACCCCAGGTTTGTTTGGCTGATCGGAGATGAAAAAGACACCACTGTCCGTGAGAGGACGCACTGTGCCTACGACAGGTGAGTGACTGACTGCAGGAAGTATTTAGGTATCTTGGTAGTTTAGAAATGTTCTTTCTGATTCTATGTTTTGACTCCTCTGATAGGATTATTGTCAATGGACGTGAAATTATTGCCAGTGTAGTGGCAGGTTCAGCTCAGCCGTTCAACTTTAAAGAGAAGTTCCATCTCACAGAGGAGGAGGTAAAACTGTACACTTTTACTCAAAATGTAAAAAATAGACATGTAGTACGGTAATTCACAATATCTTTGAATCACCATTCGGTGCATTTCCAAATCATCAACCTTAGTTTGTGTTTCCAAATACAGTCTTTTTTGGATGGTTTCATTAGTTCAAACTGAGATTTGGCATGAATGTCTTTTCTGATCTCTGATTGGTTACAGGCTCTTCAGGTGAGTGATCATTTTCCAGTAGAAGTTGACCTGAAGTCTAACCATCGCTATCATCCTCACCACGAACTGTAAAATGGCCTTAAACCACACAAAGACTTCCTGGCTGTTCAACTAAAGAGGATTCTCTGTACTCTTACTTTTATAATGATTGTAATGAACAGACAAATAAACCTGAGATGTTTCAGTGTGAAGAGACTGCATGTGGTACGTCGACTCTGCAACACCAAACACTGACGCTGGAAGGTCACTAATTAGACAGCAACCTTGATTAAAATGTACCTCTACTACGTCATACATGTTCACTGACGTTTCATTTCGTAGCGCTGTGTTCATGTAGCTCGGTTTTCACATCCTAATTTCAGCTTCACATCCTAATTCTTGCACGGTCTGTTCGACAGGAAACCACCTGCAGACACAACAAGAGTTTTTCTGCTCTTGCTCTCTTTTTCAGACACCGATAGAGTGAGTGATCTAATATAGTCTTGATACATTTCCTGACACCATCGAGCGACTTGCTGATCTCCAAAGATGGAACAAGAATTGTCTGACGTGCTCAGAGAAGCTCTTGCAGGTAGGAAATGTTTTTTGGGTTGTTTTTTTATTTTCATATTGTTATATTTATCGCTGCACCTGCAGCAGTCACTTGTGATCAGTTATGAAATGGTGTTGTGGTTGCAGAATTGCCTCTATCTTCAGTCCTCGGCGGAGATTTTGAACTTCAAAATTTGAATTTTGATGAAAAAAGTGAGAAGGAAGAGGCCCAGTGCTCTCTTAAAAACAAACCAACACAGGAAGACGAAGCTCTGCACCAGGAAGGAACTGGTGAAAGTGAACTTTTGTTTAACGTGGAAGCAGAAAATATGTACTTGACTGAAAATGTTGCCGACCATCAGCCCGAGGACCCTCAAGATGAAGAGGATTTTCAGGGTGTTTCCAGCCTTGTGAATACAGATAGAACACCAGAGGAGGATTGTGGGAGCTCCGATGGAGGAACTGATCCAGATGGTCCTGTGTCTCAGGAAGATGAAGACAATGATGATGATGATAATAAAATAGGAACGACAAAGACGCCGGGGAATTTGTTGATGTCTGAGTCCTGTGATTATGAGTTTGACTCTGGTCATAGAGCAGACGAGATGTTTTCTGAGAAAACACCTCTGGTGCCGGAGGACGCTGAACTTCCTCAGGGTAGAGATGAAGAGGAAGATGAGGGTGAAGGTCATGATTATACCTGGAGATATGAGAGATTTCCTGACTGTGGTGATGAGATGATGACAAAGAGTCTAGAAGACGAGCAGAAGGTTGAAGAAAACGTGTGTGAGTGTGAAAACATCAAGGTAGAACCAAAAGTCGGTCCTCCTGCTCAGTGCTTTGAAGAGGTTGAAAGTCCTTATGGAGGAGCGTCAGCCTGTTTGGAGTTTCCTTCAATGTCTTCGCAAAGTCTGCAGGATCTTATTGGTGAGGGCAATGTTGAGAAAATGAAAGAGTTCTCAGGTGAGGAGCATGAAGAGGCAGGCGAGAGCTTCGCCGATTATCCTTCAGACTTCTCCTCCTGCGAATATGTAGGAGATGGATATAAAATTCAGGGGAGCAGACCACCCACGTCCAGCTGTGACTCGAAAGACGACACCAATAATGACACGGAGGAAGCCGTGGAAGACGCAGTACCAATGGGGCCAGAAGAGGGCACTGACGAGCAGGAGGACGGCTACCTGTACAGCAGGGATCTGGAGATGGATGCTGAAAGAATGGTGAGTTTCATTGTGGCGGCAGGAGACAAAGATGAAAAAGACACAGAGATTGGGGAGGACGTGTTGGATGACGTCACAGCGAGACAGTGGGAAGATAAAAGTGAGACAGTGGAGACTTTGTCCAAGCACCCCAGTGAAGATGAGGTCCAAGATCAGGGAGAAAGAGACAATGAACTCTTAGATAACGTTGACTTAAAAGACCTACAAGACAAAGAACAACCAGAGGACACATGGCCTAACAGTGCAAACATGGCCGACTGTGGAGAGGGCGCAGACTGGGACTATGTTTTGTCAAAAACTTCATCCTTCCTGTCTGATCAGTTGATCACAGAAGACACAGTTGAAGCAGAGGTTTCTCCATCAGACCTGAACCAGAGTGCTGCGGGAGACTCCGACAGCTACTCAGTGGAACAGAGAGAGCACAGAGGAAATAAGACGCCTGCTTACCAGGGATCAGTGGACGTCAGCTTCTTCTTCAACAGAGATGTGGAGATAACTGAGCTGGAACGGATGGAAGATGACGACCAGGATGACGAGAAGAGCTGGGAACAGGAGCAGGAGCGAATCAATGCTTTATTTGAGTTTTACAATAACAGTGAAGTGCAGACTGAAGGAGAAGGTGAGTGATGGAGAGAGTGGGTGTGAAGCAGAGAAGGATTCTTTTTTTCTTTCTTGATGATACAGTTTGTTAAAGATCATCTAGATCTGGGTCACCTTCGTCTAAGTGGTTAGTCAACTTGTAGCTAATTTTCGTTCTTCATTTGATATTTTATTATTATTAATTATTATTATTAAGTTATCTTTCAGTTAAGCTATTTCAGGGCCAACTATGAATTAAAATGCCATAAGGCTGAATTCTGACTATTAAATGGCAGCCCTGGTCAATTTTCCATACATTTAATTTTTTTTACTAACCTGTTTGCATCCTTTCAATTAATTATTTTATTTTTATTTTTATTTTTTTTTGGCTACAACTTTGAAATAATTTGTACATAATGAACAGTTCAGCTACTGCTTATTTAAAGGTTATCTGAAATGGTAATTAAGGACAAATATTAATGAGCTTTAGCACTTGTTAAATTCTGCAGCTCTGTCACTATATTCACCACTTGATGTTTTTACTTTACATAGAGAGTAAGTTTTGCACAGAACCACTGTCTCAAGTCATCAGCTACGACAGCGACAGGTGAGGCGTTCGTCTTCTCAACACAGTCTCTTCACAATACATGCTCGTTCAACAGATCCAAACCAAACATTTTCATCCTTCTTGTTGTAGTAGTGATGCTGGTTCACTGAGCAGCTCCTCAGATGAAGAGGAGAACCTGAGCTCTGCGGAAGCATTCGAAGTGAGCCTGCTCTCATTTGCACCTGCTTCACCACAAGTAACAAGTTCATCTGAAAACAAGCTTTAACTTCTTTGTCTGTCTTCAGGAACTGAAGGACATATTTGAGAACATTCACAGGTGTACTCCCTCCAAGTCACAGCTGCCCAGGAGCTTCCCAGAGAATAAAGCCTGCCACACAAAAGTCTGTAGCCAAAAACACAAGGTGTGTATTAACCACTGCTAATGGACGTTAGCGTTCGTATTTAATGTTTTACTGTTGCCTTCTCCCATCCAGTGTCTCAGGATGTTGAACGGCACAGCAAGGATGGGTGCGATAGTGGTGATCGGACTACTGATGTTCTGGTGGACCGTCACCCAAGCAGGCTGGCTGCTAAGTTTCATTTAATCTAAGCGCTAAAGCTTTGTGTTCACTTACATTTATCATGTACATTAGTTTTATTGTGTTGTCTTAGGTGATTAGAGGCAATAAAATGGAAAAATAGTTTTGAGCACCAGTTATTAAGACCTATGAATCAAGAGCTAAAATACTAAATATTGTGTCCAATTTGCTGTAAACACTGTTTAAAACTCACCAGTGCTTTTGTAATAATTAAACCAAATTCCTCTTTCCATTAAATTAGGGATCAGTGGATGAAACACTGACATGTTTACTTGTATTTTACTTTTAATAGATGTGTATTAAACCTGAAAACCATCAGTTACTTGCAAATAAAGTATTTACATGCAAAATTCTGTTTGGTCATTTTAATAAGACACATTTTATCAAGACATTGTATTGGCATAGACTAAAGAGAAACAAACTGAACTGTTCGTAAAAGAGTTTAAGGCACATTTCCACTGAGAGTGACAGTATACAGTACATCCAGTATCACTGTAGATAGACATAATCTGTAAAATAAAAGAGAGAAGAGAGAAGTTGACCAGATAAGTTAAACTGGATGGACTGAGCGACTGTGGATATAATGGAAAAAAGTTGTTGGAGATGGAACTTCCTGATAAGAGAAATAATATGAAGACTACAGGAATGATTCATCACATCATAAAAGATGACGAAATGGGAATGGCAGTAATGCAACAAAAGAAAATGCGGAGAATGATATGGTGTTGAGTCAGGGTCATGTGGTCGAGTTTATCTTGGGCGAGTCAGTTGTCATTGACACTCTTTTGACCAAACATATTGACCATCCTATTTAGCAATGTTTTATAACTCCTTCAGTCCTACCATAACCATAAGTTAGAATATGGACCTTATTTGACAGATAATAATACAATAGTAATAATAAGTAATAATAATTAAATATACATTTTCTGTTTTTAATTTGCCAATGTTATAAGTAAAAATGTTATGTAACTATTATTTTTATATTAAAAATAAATGTATTATTACATATTAAATATACGTATTAATTTCTAATTTTGCTTGATAATGTATTTATATATTTAATTTGTTGTTTTTTATGTATTGTTTTGCGATTATTTGACACAAAGTTTGTTTTTTGGAGCTACTGCTTAAAACAAATGAGTGAATTTTATCAAGAACAAAAAGAAAGAAAAAGAAATTGGCCGCTGATGGCGCTGTTGCATTTCTATAATGAAAGTTGAATTTCAAAAATACACACACATAAAGAAGAATGAGGCACTGTGACGAATGTTTTGTACAGGCTTGCCAACAACGAAGGGCGGGATTGAGCTGCTATGTGTTCACTAGCCTGATGATGTTTTCGTGTCACCCTGGTGAACAAAACAAGCTACCTGTCAGAGTCGATGGGCGGAGTTATGGCGCTCGACTTTATTCGGTAAGAAAAAAACAGCTAAATCGAAATCTTAGTGACGTCTCAAGTTCCAGCAGCACTGACCAACTTAGAAAACCACGGAAGTGTAAAACACGAGGAAGAAAAAAGAAGTAAACAAGCTCCAACTGCCGTAAACGCCACTGGTCCGAACTCTTAACGCTTGTAAAGACAATGTCTATGCTGAGTAGTAAAACCGCACAGGAGATCAGCGAACTGCTGGATGAATATGGAATCAAACACGGGCCTGTGGTCGGTAAGAAGCTGGGGCTGTTTATTCTGTGAGCTGTGTGTCAGTACTGTACCAGTAAAGTTGAGATACAGCCGTCGCCTCCTTCTGTCAGCAGTTCACTTTTCCTCATTTTGTTTCTCATGTGCGAACTTCTCTCGTCTGTTCTTCCAGATTCCACCAGGAGTCTGTACGAGAAGAAACTGAAAGAAGCCATGGCCAAAGACAGAACACCCAGGAATAGACCATCGTCGGACAAGACCTACTACAGAGAGGAGGGTAACTGCCCCGGTTTACTGTCATTTATTGACTTCCAGTCCAAAAGCCGTCGTGAACTTTATTTTGAAAGTTTCTTAGCCACAATGATGCTAGCATGGCTCGCCTACAACTACTGTCTATAACCAATTGTTTCCAAGCGGCACATGTGGGAATCAGATTTATTTTTTATTATGTTAATAAAATAGTAGAGATACATTAAATGGCTATAATAATATAAACAAATAATAATAAATAAATCTTTATGTCTTCTTTGGTAGCTAGCAAAGCATAATTAGCTGTCATGCTGAAATAATAATTTCTCATTCTTTACCAAAAACAGTGCCAAACTCATAAATCAGAAGCAGCTTAAAAATATAGCTTTTCTAGTAGTTAGATTTTATTATTTACAGGTTAAAGGTTAGCCATTGTATACACTTTCACTTCAAGCAGATATTCATTTTCCTATTTGTAATAAATATAATAATGTATACAAGGTTAATGATTGAACAGTGTTTGTGGGGTTGTTTTTTGTTTTGTTATAGAGGATGAAGTCACCTATATCACCTACAGGACACCAGTGAGTATCATTCTGTGATTGTTATTGTTTCTTGAATCTGCATGTGGTTTAATTTTATGTCACTGTATAAAAAAAGTCTTAATTTTTTTATGTTTAATGTTTAAGTTTAACACATGGTCTTAGATGTATGTTACTGACAAGGACATTAGAATGAGGAGCCTTAAGGACAGGTTTATGCAGAGAGAAGCTGCAGTGACATCTTTAACAGACATCACTTCAGCTGTGCTGCTGTTGTGTGTTTTATGGCAACACATTTGTAAATGTTTCTCTTCACTGGTACAGGTCAGGAGTGAACGAGACTATGGAGAGAGGTCAGTTTGATTCATTCATTTTTCTGTGAAGTGATTGGCTGCCTGTTGTCTGTGTTTTCAAGTCGGCTAACGGTCATTATTTATCTCAGTGCTTCATACCTGAGTTCCAGATCAAAATGGCCTGAGAGGGAATCTGAACAAGAGTAAGCTGCAGTTTTATAAACAGGTTTTCTCATTTTAGTGAAATACCCACACATATTTACTCATATTTTACAACATATTTTGTTTGTATTTCTATTGTGTCTTGTTGTTATAGGTCGTCATTCTCATCCTACTCCAGGTCCGGACCTGAATACAGAGCAAGGAACTATGATGATGAGTATGTGGATTCTGAACACTTTTGTCAGATAGTTCATTTAGTCAACGTCAGACATTTTTATTTACACCCCGTACAGGATTCTCTATTCTTCTTGCACTTGGTTTGAACAAGTTTTAAATTATTTGTGTTTTTAAGTAAACTTCCAGGTCTTTCTCTGTCTCTCCAGTGGTTCCTCCTTGAGCTCAAGACCAAAGTGGTCTGAGAGGGAATATCAGTAAGTGAAATTTCTACCTATATTTATTCATTCATCAAAACCAGTGAGTATGGTGTAAATAATACCTGTGAACCTGTTGTGTTGTCTCTCTGCAGGACGCCACACTCTTCATACTCCAGGTCTGTCCCTGAATACAGAGGAAGGGACTTGGCTGATGAGTAAGTATTGAATTTTTTTTCATCGACTGTCACTACCTTTGCAATCTACCGTTGATCATGATCATCCTATTTTAATTTATTTCCTATTTTAAAACTGTTTATACAGCAATGATTAGATTTCCTCTCTCTCATCTCCAGGCCCTACATGCGTGAGAGACAGTCGTCCTACACAACAAACTCCTTCTTGAATTCCACACCTGTTAAATCTGGTCAGGATGCTCCTCAGGCTCCACAGTCGTCTCGCCTCGTCCCACTGTGGCTCCAGATTTTCTTCTTCTTGGCGGTGGCGGTCTTCCTCTACTTAGTGTTTTCGAACATGGAGTCAAACGAGTCCCCCCAATGGATTGATTGAATCATCGTCTTTTTTATCCAGGTTCCGTCTGTGGGGCTGTCAACACATGGTGTATTTTTATTCAAAGAATGTGTTTTGGCTATTGCCTTTATTTTTAGATTTGGCTCAAATTAAGCTTTTGCAATATATATATTTATGTATGGGTTTGCTGGTTTTAATAGCAGTTTGCTTTGCTTTGCATTTGCTTTTTTTAAGGTAAAATACAAATTTTTTAATCAAGCTTAGAAAAGCAGCAGTAGAAGAGAAATTGTTCAAACATTTGATATCAGCTGCCCGTCTGTTGGGTGATCTGAATGTCACCCACAATGATAGTTTTGGTGCATATTGGGCTTTAAAGACAAAGCACTACAGAACATTACTTGTCAGATCCACTACATTGTTTTATTTGTCAGTAAAAGGCAAAACTCTATAAAGGTTTTTTACATTTTGGTTTTACATTTTATGCCAAATCAGTATTTCTGTAGCTTTTCTACCTGTTTATTGCCACTGAAATCAACAGTCGTTCTGGCGTAGTTTTCACTAGTTGATGCTCAGTTCAGTGTATTACAGTGTACTATGACTTTTTATGGGATGTCATTTACAATTTGGACATTTTTAGACCTGTTGTAATTAAAGTGCCTCTAAAGTTGTTTATGGAAAAATTAGGATAAAAAAAAAACCTCCACAACTGGTAACGTCTGTTTTATTTTTACTGGGTAAAAAAATCTACAGTAATGTCAGGCTAAAACATGGTGCTTCTAATTTGTTGCACTTCAGTCAACTGAAACATTTTGGTACCAAATAATCAGACTTTGTTTTTAGCCAGTACTGTGTTTGTCTGTGTTTCACTAATAAAAAATACCACAAAAAGTTTGTTTAAAGTAAAACAAGTGTCATTTATTCAGGGACGAAAACAAGACTGAAATGTTTAAATAATCCAGGGTATAAAAAAAAACGATGGGGGGAGGCAGTGGTGGCCTGGTGGATAAGGAAGCGTACTTGTTTTCGGAAGGTCACAGGTTCGAATCCACCAGCCACCAGGTGCCACTGGGGTGCACTGAGCATGGCACCGTCCCCACACACTGCTCCCTGGGCCCTTGAGCTGCCCCCTGCTCACCAAGGTGACGGGTTAAAGGCGGAGGTCACATTTTGTTGTGTGCAGTGGTGTGCTGTGTCAACAATGACAATAAATCACTTTGCATTTTGAGTTTGATCTTATGCTGTAAATGATGTAATACATGCAGTAATGGCTACTTAAAAACCTGATAGAAAATAATGTTTGTTTTTTTGCCATGTTATTGTGTTGAGTTATAGTTGCTAAAGAGAAGCGTTAGACTCTTACGCGTCCTTTGAAGATCAATCAGCTGAAGCAAATACGTGATACTGCAATTTGGCTGTTGTCGTTAGTGCTACTTGGTAATAAACATAAAATGTAGTGCATGTACACAGGCCTGAGGAAGTCATCTCACAGTTCCCCCAGTTTACCTCTTTCACCTCCGTTTATGTCTGAACAGAATACATTTTGACTCTACCCCGATGTTTGGTGTGAAAGTGAAACTGTTGTTCAGTCTTTGTTGGAGTCCAGTTGCAACTGCTCAGATTCTATTGAACTGGTCCACCTGGTGGTTTTGGTAAAGGTGTGGTAGCCACATACCGTCAGTCTTTCTGTTCCACGCCGTTTAAATCCACGTTGAAAAGATTCTGTTTTAAAGGACAAACACAAAATGACTGATTTTAAAATACTGCTCCAGTTGCACATCTGAGTCAATGGGAAAAAAAGGTAAAACAAAATGTGTTCAGTCATTTTACGGTCATTTTTGTCCTTCAAAGAAATTGTTAATTGTAGAACCCACCCTTCTTTACCACTAGATGTCAGTGTGCACCGTTAATGAACGTTTGAACGACAACTACTGATTCAATTTAATAAATGTCTTCGTTTTTTTTGATGCAGACATTTTCTAAGAACTAAATACAAAGACAGTACCATACAGTAATGCGTTTCAAATGTTACCAAGTCACTTTATAAATATTATTTCCTTGTTATGTTTAATATAAATAGATTGTAAATGTAGCTGACATTTTAGATTATGCCTCAACCATGAGTCCCATCATATTAATGTTACCAAAAATAACTATTGTAATTCTATAAAACACGTAAACATCAAATGGTAGAAAACACCTATTATTTCAGGTGTGAAGAGTGAGAATCTCTACCTTCAGTGCCTTGAGTTTAGATGCATCCCATCATAGCTTGTTAACTGATAAGGCAACATATGTGTTGTCCACACCTGTAGAGAGGAGCAGAGCTGTTAAGACTGCATGTGTGGCACAAGCATGAGATGATCTGAAAAAGGTTTAAATAACTGAGATCTGAATTTAAATAAATGAAGAACTCACAGGTTCTGGTCTCTCGCTCCAGTTCAGATGGTTTCTTCTCTTTGTAACAGAGGACCTTAGCCACGATGATGATAACAACAAGAGCTACAACAAAGGTCAGGCCTGACACGATCCAGCTGATCACCATTGGACTGAGAAGAGGATCTGGATCTGAGAGTTACAGTAGATTTTACCTGCTGTTAAAAACGTCATCCAGGTGAAAGAGGCCAGCGTGCGTACACACACACAGGATTATAAAAATCTCTGAATCATGGTATTGGTTTCACCTCTTATGGCTATAGGCAGTGGCTGGCTTTCTCTGGAGACAAAGGTGCGTCCGCCCATTTGGACCCGGTACAGACAGTAGTAGTAGCCCTCGTTGGAGCTCTGGGCGTTGGGGAAGGTGAAAGTGACAAACTGAGACAGAGCAGGCAGGGACTGGCGCACGGTGCCGTTGGGTTGAATCAGCCGTAGCTGGAAAGAACCTCCAGGGTACTGTTGCTGAGTGGAGCATGTGATGTTAAAACTGTGGCCTCTGATGACAGAACCGGTTGGAGCCTCAGAGGACGTGTTGTACCAGTGGTGGGGAGTCAGGAGTTCAACTGTGATATCACCAGGGGAAAAAGGGGATTAGAAGATTCTAACAACATCTAACAAAAGGAGATATATGTTCTGCATTCACGTTCTTAAATTATGCAGTTTCTGACAAAAAGTACACAAATGAAACTAATTTAATTTATTGACATACTTGTTAACATGTAAACATAGAATTTACTATATTATATATACTATTTACTCTAACAGTATAACAAAAACAATTTGAAAACTTTTACATTTTTCAGTACAATACATTTAAACACTGTCACAATTATTTTTTATATATTATTTTTTGTTTCAATTTGTCACTGCTAATTTACATTGTTAATATTTGATTCCAATACTACAAACTGGAGTTTCTGCCGATACCAATACCGATCTGAATACTTTTTTTCTCCTCCCTCAAGTCGTTAGGAAGCATGTACTTTGTATTGATGTACTTTACTGAATACAGACATGCAGTATGTAGGTGTATGGAAATGACTAAGACGTTTAGGGAAAAAAAGTACAAGCCTTTTTGTGCTGATGACTTACAGAGACAGTACAGTGTCAAACAGGCCTCTGCTGAGTGCCAACACTAAAGTTAAGTTACTGTTTCAATTCAGATGTGAACAGTATCCACTCCTTGAACATCAGCCTGTGTCGGACAAATAATGAAACGTTTGCTGTAACTTTCACACAACACCAATAATCCTAATAAATGCAGGGTGGATGCAGGGAGTTGATGACACACTGCGGTCGTGACTCACCTACGGTGATGTTGATGGAGTTGCTGGGTGGAGAGCTGAGCAGCTCAGAAGGAAATCCACCTTTGATCCTATAACGACAGCTGTAGCTGCCCTGGTGAAAAGTCTCTACGTCAGACAGTGTGAGCTCTACACTGGTCTGCGTCAGGTCTGCCCTCTGTGTGACCAGTGGCGTGGAAACTCCATCCTTGTACAGGTGGAAGTCACTGAAGTGGTGTCCCAGCTTTACGCTGCAGCTGAAACGAATGGCCTCCCCAGATGAGAACACAGTGTGAGGTGACAGCAGGGTGAGGGTGGGCGTTAAAAGAGTACCTGAAAGTAAATCAGTTTCATCTGTAACAGTGCAAACTCCACTACAAGTCTGTTCTAATGTTTACATTTTCCAAGTGATCTCTTTTTAAAATCTGTATTTGTGCTAAAAAAAAAAAAAACTCACACAAAACCTCTTACCTGAGCATTTCACTCCTGCATCATTCTCATGGGTGCAGTAGTAGTAGTTATGAAGGACAACAGCACAGTGTGTCAAACTGGACTCATGACCCGTGCACTGGACGTGGCGCAGCCAGATCTCGCCTTTGCCAGGACCAAAGGCCGCACCGTGGAGCGCATGTTCAGCAAAGCCACATCCCAGCTGCAAGCACACCACATGAGCCTCTCGGACGTCCCAACCGAGGTCACACACTGTCCCCCACTGGTCATGGCGGAGGACCTCCACTCTGCCAGAACACTTGTTCTCCCCATTAACTAGTCTGACTACATCTGTGGATCAGGAGAAAAGTCAGTGGAAGACAAAACTATGTAAAAGAGTTACAATGTTGCAGGTGTGACTCTGTTCTACACTCACCTGAAGCATTCACCCCATTTCCTAGTAAACCTATCAGGCCTGTGAGGAACACACAGCAGACATGATAGAAATGTTACGCCTCTGCTTGTTTGTTTGTTTTCTTTTTTGGGGAGGAGGTGGGGTTAATTGCAGTTTCCAGAGTGAGATTTTAGAACAGACAATACAGTATTACTCGTCCACATGTTATGTTTGAATTTCAGTTAGAAAATATAGCACAAGAAATGACTTGATATTTATTTGAAATATTGACAAAAAAACGATGTACTTGAGGATTATTACCTCTCTATAAGTTCAGGTGGGAGTGTTTTAAAAAGTCAAACCAGACTCGGAGCCACCTACTACAGTATATTTCTATTGTGACTGGTCTCCACAGTCCAAAACCATGCATTTCGCCTCATGGGACAAGACAACCTAAACTGAACTGTTTATATTTTGATTGAATAATTAATAGATTTGTATACAGTTCCAAAAACCTCTAGTTAACCGTATTAGAACAACATATACGTCCCCCATTAGGCAAATCGTGACGTACTAATCAGTGAAGTTGTAGACGAAAAACAGGTTTTGTAACCGTGGATGTTAATGAGTCAGAGACTTATTTGTTTATTATAAATGTACAGATACGCTGCGGAAAATGCCGTAAACTAATTAACTCACAATCGATGCTAGCATCCGTTAGCTCACCTGTTAGCAGGATGTGGAGGAATTTGAGCATCGTTTCCTCACCCTTCCATCACACAGCCGGGTGAGAAGATGCCCGTGTTACCGCTGACGGTGCCGACAGCTGCTCAACCACAAGGACCGACCAAGACATCAGCTGGCTGGTAGGAAGGTGAAGACTTGTACGTCTAAATAATTTAAGAGCTAACAGCTAAGTTGGACCGATTAGCATCAAGCAGCGGTGTCGGAGCTTTGTCTAAGACATTATGTGTCGATAACCGATCAATGTTTTCTGTCCGACCCGTAAAATAATATCGTTTCGTCAAAAGAAAACGTAAAGCTGTCTGTGTTCACAACATGACCACGGCTACATGCTGCAAGGCCCTCGAGTTCCCGTTAACAATCTGCTGGTGTGTTGCGTTGTCTTGTGTCGTGTTGTGCGGGAGACAGGGGGCGCCACGACTCCACACTGGTCACTAAGCCAGAAACATGGATGTACTGTACTGGACTGTGTGACATGTCACAGGTCAGACTGCAGACTGCCCCAGGTTGTTAGACTTCAATCCCGCTTAACTCATTCGTTACAAAGGTTTAAATTTGGTTTCCAAACTTTTCGTTTGTTTGTCTATAAATGATTCAGGGAAAGTACCGAAAAAAGAGAGTTGTTTTCTAGGTAATATGTAACAGACATAAGAAAAAGGAGTAGTTTTTTTTAAAACTCCCAGCAATATTTATTTACTTGAAACTTTCAAGAGAACATTGACTAGTTTCTCCCTGTTGTATTTACCCAACACGGAAATCAGCCAGTGTTTAACCTGGGGTGGTTACAGATCTACATCTGCTAACAGAGCTGTCCCTGCCCATTGTTCCTCCAGTTATCATGAAAGAAGGAATAGCCCCCCAGAAGAGTCGTTCTTTCAGGGTAGTTAACAGCTCCTTTTATGCTACTGTCGACCAAATTTAGATAACACAAGTTGTTAAAAGCCACGTTCAAACACATTTGCCCTCATTTACATACTGGCAACACGGACAGGAGGTAAAGGTGTTCCTTATCGCACTGTTAGTAAAAAAATAAATGGAAAGTGATGGTGGTTAAACAGCCAACATTTTAGTGTTTTTTTCTATTTACCATCTAACCTGAATTTCTGTTTGAAAAGGTAAATAGCATAATGTACAGTAAACAGTAGTGTTCACCGCTTACAGAAAAAGTCAACAATACAGTTTTGAACAAGAGTTTTTAGATTTTAGTAACAGAATGCATCTAAATACATTCCTCCACACACACAACACACAAATAAATTGGATATACACAGCAATTATTTTAATGTATTTGGATTTTATGAAACATATGTGTGGGTTCATGCAAAATCCAAACATCTGAATCTACCATGTTCTCCAAATTTTTCTTTACCCTAGTACCAAGAGAAATATTTCCTACACATTTTTTAAGAATCAGTGAATATTTTAAATTACAAGTACAGAGTTGTCAAATAACTTCATCTGTGAATTAATCACAATTAAATGTGATCATCTAATCACAATTAATCAAGATGAATTACAATTCCTTAATTGTACAATTCCTCACAATCAATTTGGCAAATATGTCAGTCAGCTCGTCAGCCATAGACGTACTTAGTGCCCTGAGTTTGATGAAGCTGGTCTGATGAAAGTGATCTTTGATGAAACGAACTCTGCAGTGTGTGTGTATGAAAAAATGTGTATTGACTGTGTATTAGAGAAGTTAAAGGTGGATGTACAGCAGAATTATTGGATGTTCAGTGCACATCGTTCTGCTCATGCGTTAAACTGCGTTCAAAGTTTTCTGCATTAAAATCAGTCGACCACAAAATTAAGGTGTGGGTTCTGTCGTTTCTTAATGACATTTATTTAACCACTGGTCAAATGTCATTATTATGAAAAGGTTGACTCGTTTTTTTCCACAAACAAAGTACAGACAAGTCTGTAAATGTATATATACTATTTTATACATAGAGAAGATATATATAAATGAAAAATATAATAATTCTGTCATCCAAAAACAGCACATATCTGTGAACATAAATCTCAAGCATGGTCTGTGGTCATTAAAGAACAGCAGCATTATTATCTGCACAAACTTTCATTAGAACTAAATGAGGCAACACGTGTGAGATCAGACATTTACAAATGATAAAATAGTTATAAAATAACACAAAATAACTTAGTTGACTTAACGCCAGTTTTCTAAGTCCATGACCTTTGTTTCACAGGTTTCGAGCTTCAGTAAATACCACAATTTCTTGAAATTTTTCCAGATAAACTCTTACCAAAAAACAACAATAAAATAATCTGTTCAGCTCTTTGGATAACAGTACATCCCTCTTCAGTTCCTTCAGTACAAGTGTCTGCTGCACCACTTCAAATCAGAGTTTGTGCTACGTTTCGTACAAAAGTCTGTTGCTCAGTTTATAAAATCTGGATTCACTTGGAATCCCCAAGCAGGTGGACAATGAGTTCATAAGTGGACAAGACGATGGCTGTGTTGGGGATTTGTCTGATCAGCTGTGGAACGAGTCCTCTGTAAAAAGCTGCGTAGCCTTCCTCTACAGCTATCAACCTTCCTGTCTGGAAGAAATACTTGTACTTGCTGCCTTCTTCTCGCAGCCTCGTCCTTATGACCTCTGTGAAAACAAACAACAAAATACATGAGTCACCTAATGTTTCACAAAAAAAAAAAAAAAAAATCCACGATGTAAGGTTCCTGGAAATACATAGAACCCAGGTATTTACCATGAGGGTAGGCGATGCAGGACGCACACCCTTTTGAAAATGCAGCTGCCACCATCAGAGCAAGGAAATCCGATGCTCCTTTCTCTTTTTCACTACTTGGAGAGGTGTACTGGTTTTGGTTGAGGTGTTTCTTCAGTGTCTCGTAAATGAGGAAGCAGATCATGGTTTCCGAGATTCCCGCATATGACGCAGTCAGGCCTCTGTAGAAACCGCGGATCCCTTCAGTATTGTAAACATAGCGGGCACACTGTAGTGCATTCAACCGCTTCTCTCCTCTGGCTCTGAAAGACCAAAGTCAAATTCATTAGAGCAAAACAAAAAAACAAAGAAAAAACAAGGTGACCAGTACAGAAAATGAGAAACAAAACCAGGTTCATAATTCAACAAAGACTCCTCTCCAGATGCTGTGTTTTCTAGTGTCATGGATGATAAAATAATGACTTATGATCTGTGACTGCAGTTTAAAATAATTCATGTTTTGTCCCTTCGCTCAACAAGATTTATCCTGCAGGACAGAAGCTCTTCAAATCCATTCCTGTGACATCACATGGTACAACTGCCCTGTACTTTGGATTGTAAATAGATTCTTCTGCTGCACGCAGGACCCTACGTCAGCACTGTGTATTTATGGCACTGGATCACAAGATGGGAACTATACACTGTCCAAGCCAAGGATAGTGGCACGAAGGCAGGCCCCTCAATGAAAGGTCAGAAGGTGTAACTAGTGTCCACCAATCACAGGAGACTTTAATGTGTCAGAGTTAAAGCAAAGTCAGTTCAAATAAAGTTTACTTTTGTGAAGCTTCTGGTTCATTTACATAATTTCTATTATTGTTTTAATTGTTTAAGGTAATTGGATCTTTGTTGGTTCCATAGTATAGTGGTTAGCATGCCTGCCTTGGCGTAAAAGGTCACCTCAGTGTGACTGTTGGGGTTAACGCACTCCGACATGTCAGTCGCAAGGTGTCATCTATTTCCCGTGGGTAATCACAGTTTGCAAAGCTAAATTATCTTCTTGTTCTAGTGGAGCACTTAACCCAGGGATTGGGTTCAAACTGGGTTGAATGCAGAAAAGGGTTGTGTTTGCAAACAGTCTCTGCATATTTTACATTAAACTGATAAATTTAACATTAATTCAATAACTTTTGTCTTTTTCTAAGTGATATATTCCCCAACAATTTCAAACCTTATACCAACCAAATACTCTATGGGACCTTTTAACTTCCATATACCTAATGCATGTTGCCACAACCATTTAAATGTCAAGTATGTAACAATCAAAATACATATGAAACAACATAAAACATGGCAAAACAGAGAGACATGTACGTATGTGCTGTGGCAGCCTACACCTAAACTTATGTAACGTGCCCACTCTGCACTTATCTCTCTTCACCTACAATACCTCTGATAGTGTGAGCTATTTTAGCTCTGGAGTATTAAAGCCTCCTTTGTGAGATTTTCAAGGACAATGCACACAAAAAAAAACGTAGCTCATAGAAAATAATAAGTATACATACTTTTTCTCCAGCTGCATCCTAGTCTTGACCATCCAGATGGGATTCATCAGAGAGTTCGTAATGAAGGCTGAAGAAGAGGGTGAGAAGAATATATAGTTCAGGATGTTTTAATGTAGGAATGTATAATTTTACACTGAACAATGGAATGGATAAGAAATGTACCTGCAATCCCTGCAGAAGACATGTGGACCAGTCCACTGTTTGGAACAAGCAGTCCATTTAGTGTTTCTTTAGATTTGGAGTATGCAGTAAAATAAATTGCCCTGAAAAACAAAACAACCTGAGGTGAGACCTCGACACAGAGGTGACAGAATTCCACACTGGGCTGACATTGGAATATGGCAGTCACTGTGTGACAGCTGCTCATGAGTATAGTTCAATCTAAGCTAAGTGCCTCCACAGCAGTCGGTTTCCGAGGGGCTGCTCATTCAGGCTGGTGTGTTTGAAACAAAACCCTCACTGTACTGGAATCGGCTCAATCAGCAGTGGACACCACAGAGGTCCACAGACCTCTCTGTATTCAACCCTGTCCAATTTGGACAGTGGACAAAATGGGGACAGTGGAAATACTAAACAAAGGGTCAGGCGGTGGCTAAACATTAACTATTGGCAACTGTTGACCCAAGTCAGTAAAACAAGGTTTCAAAGTCTGATCAACATTTTATCCACAGTACATGTCAACTAATTTGAACATTGCATTGTACATCACATTTTATTGCTTTATTCCTTTTGGAAGAAGTACTTTCAAAAGAGAACACTGATTAAACAGCTTATGACACTAAAAATAGTTGATAAGAACCTGTGCACAATATTACTTATATTTTATGAGTGCCCTTCAGTCATTGATGTAGATTAAAATAAAAAATAAAATGAAAATGCATTGGCCCGTGGCAAAAGGTTTTGTCAAGAACTAGCATTTCCAAAACCCTTGACTTATGGGTGGAAGTCATTGAAAAAGATGTTTATACACTCAAAACACATTTAGCAGGACAAGAGAAATATGTCATCAAATGTTATTTCTTCTTGAGATTTATATAGTCAATAAATAAAATCTGGAGTGTTGTGATACAAGGAAACAAGACAGACGATAATTTGTCAATGTTTTACCACAGTTAAACCAGGTTGGTTTTTAAATCTTCTAACGCAATAATAGTACCCAGAAATTCAGTTTAAAACAGTATCATTCACTTAAAGAAGTTATATTTTATCAACTGCATTGTTTATTATTGTTGTGTCTCAATTCACCTTGAGGGAGCCACACCAACCAGGTTTGGCCCCAGACCACGAAAAAGTGACCTTGGTCCCTCTTTTTCAAGAATTGATCTAAAAAACAAAACAAAAATCACAGAACATGAATTTGATGATATATCTATATATGCATATATATGTATGTACAAATTACAGTAGGTGATATATAATCACTGTAAATGCTGGTTAGATTATCCCAACTTATTTTCTAGTCAATTCCACATATATAGCCTCCATTCATAAATATCACTTTGCCATAAAAGATTGTCAATCTCTACAATCCCTATAAATGGACATGAGTGTGACAGTCCACTCATTCAGACTGTTACATCAGTTATGTCAACATGAGCTGATTTTGCATCAGGTTCGAAACTGAACCCAGTCTCCCATGAAACGCCACGCTTGTCACGTCCGCCACAACCCCAAAAAGGTTTTTGTCTATCTGTCGATGGCAACCTTCATTCTTCAGATGACATTCAGGTTTGACTGGGGCCAAGAAAAGGGGGGGAGGAAGGTTGCATTACTGTTGTTTTGTTTTTACAGTGTTTACTCAAACAAATATGTATATGTTACGCCTACATATCTAGTGCCATCTGTTAAAATTTACACAGCAACTCCCTTTATTCGTCATAATCTATTAACCTGGAATTGCAAAGAAACTATCAAAATTAATCTACATTTGTTAAAGAAGATTGCAAAGAAACTATCAAAATTAATCTGCATTTGTTAAAGAAGTAGAAAGAGTGGTGATGCATGCATCTTATAATCTGGATTTCAAAGAAAATATTTGTTCTGCACAAACTAAATGTTGCCTTTAGCTGCATGTAACTTTTAAAGCTTCAGCAGTAACAGATACTTGTCTGACTGGTCTCCGACTCTGAATGTAATTTTACACCAACAAAAGTCAAGACGCCTTTAAAACGTTCCTTCAGTTCACGAGGACCACTCCTACTCTGTAGCCAAGTCTGAGACATAAAAGGGACCATCTCTGGGTCTGGTGTTTGGTGATGTAAAAGTGGTTATCACAAAATACTATGTTGAGGTTAAATATGTACAACGTACTCCCAATGTCTCCAAACTTGTCACTTTAATGCAAAGCCTTTACCCTACAAACATATGTGAAACACAGCTAACAACTATGTCTGTTCCCTCACAACAGTAGTTAAGAGAAAAGGACACCAGCTGTGAAGAGGGAACAGTTTGTCTCCTTACTTGGAGGTTTTAAAATACAACCCCTCCAAGGAAAAGTCCTCATCACATGATGTGTTTTTCAGACACACAACTTACCGAAGAACCTGTAGCAGCCCTGGTGTGACAGTCCCCGGTCGGATAACACCAGTTCCACTTAACGTACCCAACTGGACCTGGAAGACGGGCCGGAGGGCCAGGCTGGAGGACTGCAGTCGTGTCTTTAACACCTCCAGAGGACATGTCACGACGGCTCCCACCGTTCCACTACACCTGGAAAATGACACACTACAATCAGAATAATGATCCTAAAGAAAAATAACACACTTAGCAGCCCCTGCTGATTTTAATTATAACTTTAAACAACATCAACACAAGCTTCCAATTTAACCTACTTCTTTACATGTCAAACCGGTACATCCATTATTAACCACATTTAACCTTGTCACTGTCAAGGATTATCTGGAACAGATTAATCTAAGACTTGTACCACCAAAATAGCACCTTGTCTGATTGGCATAATACATAAACAACCCTGACTGCCAGAAATTGCAGGCCATATTTATAAAAAAGTTTTTAAAAAAAACTAAATCTCAAAAAGTAATATCACAGAGGATTATCCATCTATAATACCAGCTTTTATGCAATACTGAAACAGCTATAGCTGAAATTCAAAGGTCATATATTTATGGAATAGTTAGACATGTATTCCCCTTTTAATACCTTTATTATTTCCATGACGCCTCAAAGCCTATGTTAAGTCATAGTCTGCGCACATGACGTCTTAAACATCTTAACAGAGAACTGTAAGAGTGTGAAAAGTTTCGTCTGAAATTGGAATAATTCCAATATGCCTTAGCACATGTTGAACACGTGAAAGTCAATTTTGGACATGTCGCAAAAAATTTCAAGGGTAAAATGGCGTCATTTAAACGATATAATTCAAGTGCACGTTCGTTGTGGCGTCTAACATTCATCATTTTACAGCAGTAGGGTGGTTCTAAAAGACACAACACCTGGTTTAAACAATAATATTTCTTCTCATTGTGCCTCCATGACCGACCGGCGAGCATACACGTAGCTGTTTTTTAAATAACGATATCGGGTATCAGAGCTAAATGCTAACTGCTCTTGCCACTGAGCCACATCCAGATATAGTTGACCCGCTATATCTGCTCGGTTTACATTCAGTTGGATGAAATTTACACAGACACTACAGAACGTCGACACAATTACTCTCAAACTGTTTTACTGACGAATTTTTAAACTCTAATACCATAAGAAAGCCGCTAGCCGGTATTAGCAAATTTCCGCAATGGAAGGTTAGCAGGTGAAACGAAGAGATACGATGCTATCTAGTGCTTAATTGATCAGCCGTTAAGCTATAAAACAATATCAATAAAAATACCAAAGCAACGTAAAGGCGTCCATAACCACTATTATCCATCTTAAGTATTTTACTAAATTGGGGCGCCGAATAGTTAGGATAATGAAAATAAACACTTTACAAAACAGCCCCAACGCGGTTAACCGCTAACAAACAAGAAACTAGCTCCCCTTTATACGCTTCAACTTATTTAGGATGTAAACCAAAGGTTGTTCTTCAGATTCACTGACGATTTTAATGGACAAGACCTTTCAGCCTCAACTGTGGTCACCTCTCTGCGTCACTTTACTCTCTGTCCTATTGACCAGCCTCAGACCGGTTTGAAGCGGAGCTAGGAACATGACTTACCCCCCGGCGAACAGATTAAGCAGCGTATCTTTCTGTGCCATCCCCTCCTTTTGTTTCAGACGGTCATCATACGGTTTGGTGTTCTCCTTGGATAAAATTAAAAAAGAGTCGGGGGCTCTTTGTCTTTCCTTTGATCCTGGTTCGCAGCAGTAGTCACCTCAAGGAGATTCAGTCTCTCTAGTCACATGATCATGGTCTGATGTGAAGACTTCCTAGCAGTGACGTCAGTGGGCCGGGCGGGGGTGTTGTCTGTGACGTAAGTACACGTGCCTCACACATTTCCCCAGCCTTCTTCCTAAATCGTTACGCAACAAACAGAGATCTTGATTGACAACACAACAAGTCCTTTTTGACCTTGACCAGTTACATTTTGATTGCCCTCTCAAACCCTACCCAAAACAATGTAATGGTAATTGTTGGCGTGCACAAGCAAAATGTGCAAACACACTTTCTAGACAAATTTGTCCATCCATCATCATCTGTTTATTGGAAGACTAATTTGTATTCTTTATAAAAATGTAATACACCAAACTTTGATGATTGCACTTAAATCCAAAATTAGACTTTCAATGTTGTGTTGTTAATGTCACCTTAAATATACACATAAAAAATGGAGCCAGCAATGATTAATTTCAGGGCCACATGGTGGAGGAGTAGCGGTCTTGCCTTGCAGTAAAAACATCATCAGCTCAAGCCCCAGTGGTCAACTTGGTCCAACTGTATGAAGTTTGCATTGTCAGCTTGTTTGTGGAATTTTTATCTGCTATCCTGGCATTTCCCCACAAACCAAGCAGATTAGGTTAATTGTGTTTACTTTGTTTATCTTTATATGTGGCCCTGGTATTGACTGGTGGACTGTCCAGGGTGTATCCCACCCTCCTGAAGCATAAACATTGAATTGTACATTTTTTAATGTTTTGGAAGTGAGTGTAATATAATAGTGTAATATAATTTTTATTTAGATATTTGAGCTATTCCTGCTCCATGAGTACCTAGTCTGCTTCAACAACTATTGTCGGATTATCTTCCTCTTGTGGCTCTAGATTTTTTTTCTTTAACAAGACACAGATATGGACTGCAAGCAGGACAATCAGCACTTACACACTTTATGTCTATGAAGACATAAAGGCACATTTATTTTTAAATTGTGTTTTATAAGACATGCCACAGGCTAAACGGCCCCTGAATAATGGTACATTCATTAACAGTATACACAGATTTACTTCAAACTCCCACCCATACTGTACATTTTTTAATAATTGATTAAAAACAATACCAAAGATTATATTTACAAATAAAACAACTATTGTGTTTTCACTGTAACCCATCCCTGAAAAGCATTAATTATGTAAAAGGCCAACGTCACTGATCCTATTTATAATAACACTGAACACAGGTGTAATTATTGAAGTATTCATGAATTATTATTTTCTGTTCACGGGGCCATGATTCAGAGCTGGCTCTCTCTCCATTAGTTCAACTGCATTATTTAGCCTACATTTGACTTGACTACATGACAAGCCAGGTGAAAGTGAATACTAAGTAACGTCTTACAACTCTTTGTACCACTTAGTAAAAAGTTACATTTGTATATTATATTCTACTCTTCAACCATTCCTTGCAAGCTTATATACTGAGAAATACTGTCTGCATAATTTTTGATTTTGAGTCTTTGTCTGGGTTTGTATATTGCTGTCTTTTTATGCAAAAAAAATGGGAGTAACGTATGTAACAGAAGCTTCACTTTACATTTTTAACCCAAGTCTAGACATGTACACTAGGTATTTTCCTGGGGCATTAAATGTTCCTATCTCATCAATGTGTGGTTTCACAAATAAAAACTTAAATACCTGCAACATTTATGGTACATGCCTACAATCAATTGTATAGTTATGTATGTACTGTTACTCTGAACAGTCCTGTAAAAGTCATCAAATACCATAGTACGTTTGGACATTCAAGCTAAATCCAACACTGGTTATCTAAGGTTTATGATGTCCTCTAACACCTGTTTACAGTACTTTCCTGTAATTAACCTGTTTCAGCTGCGATAAGAAACTGTAAATAGGGAGAGTTAAACGATCTCTGTCTCCTGTACTAGGAAGACCACAGAACAACAGAGAGCTAGGTTTCAATGAAAACAAGAAATGTGACATCATCGACTGTACCACGGCGATAAACGATTGTTTGTGTTGTGCGGTCAAAGTTGAAGTGTAACTCCTGTTTTCTGTCAGAGAGTGAACAGCAGAAAAATAAGTTACTCAATCACAGTGATAACACAGTGTTTTTCAGTGTGTCTACACAACAACACTAACATATGCCCGGAGGTCAAAACACTTCGTGCAAACCAGTTCAACTTGATTTTTAAGCTATTTGTAATTATGAAGATTTTTTAACGTTCTATTGACAGTGTAACCTTGTGTGTTTGTGTGTGTGTGTGTGTGTGTGTGACACAGAAACACTGGTCTACTCTTATCACTGACTGCATATCCCTCATTCTGATTTATAGCTCTCCAATGTTGTATTATTATTTGGTTTCCTAGATTAATGGTGGCTTATTCATGTTGTACTAGCCAACACATATGTTTCCTAATTCTGTTATCAGATATTTGCAGTTCCAAAGTGATTTGTTCACTGTTTTGTCACTAGATGTTATTGTTCACATGAGCATTAGCTTAGCTGTCCTAATATGTGCTAATATATGCAGAATGTTTGATTGTAGATAAATAGTCTAAAGGAAACCATATAATATAAATGGAAATAACATGGAAATCCTCTTTGTCAAGTGAGCCTACATAGAACAAAGTAAGCCTAAAGCTAAAACGGCTAGCATTGAAATTAAAATAACTATTATGTTTGAAATGAACAGGTCTCACAGTCACACTTCTATGAAATTACTGGATTTATTTTTAACATTTTTACGTTCATTAACACACTGCATGTAAATCCAATGACATTGGCTTTAACGTTGGCCTTAATTCACTGAATAATCTTCACTCGTTAGTTATCGTGTAAAACTTGGAAATACTGACACATAGTGGCCATATGTAGCATGAACCCAGCAGCTCTGCCATGTCCGCTTAGGTCCAAAACTGAACTTGGTCTAAAATGTTCACGTCAAACCTTTTTGTATTACATTCATGTCATCAAATCAGCGGCAAAATACATCTTTATTCTTATAATTATTTAAAGAAAACAGTGATTAACCTGACACCGTTTTTTTGTTTTGTGAAACTGCAGCAGTAGTTTGAGACTCACATGTACTCACAACTTTGCAAGTCAAACTAGAGTCGTTAACATAATCCCCAATTTGCACTCGAAGAAACTCGAGTAAACAAAGACATGAGGGAAAAACAAGAACGCCTTAATTCAACACACCCCCCTCACCTTGCACATCATCAACCTGCTCACTCTTCTCAGAAAAGTTTCTCCTGTTAATGTAGGTATTCATCACTTCCAAACAGGGAACGTATCCTTCACGTTAAGTGATATTTATGATTTAATATAATTCTTTGGGGTTTTTTAATGATTTATGATACTGCAATAGAAGCTCCATCATTCTTCTCTACATGTGGTCCCGTGACCCGGTGTACACCCCACACTCACCCGTTGTCTCCAGGTCCACTCGCGATTTATGCGACAGGAGATGGAGGTTAGTTTCCATGAAAGGCGCCACCTGTTGTCTGCGAGTCTTAATTGCAGCTCAGAAAAATGATTGCAATTTTTTTTTTTTTTTTTTGCAAGTGACTCAAAGATCACACGTTTTCTACTGTCGCTGCCAAAATCTGTACTTTCTGAATGTCAAATACCGTGTTAAGAACTGCCACTGCAGGTAAATTACACCTTTGATTAGGCAAAGTGAATTCTGAGTCATTCCATTTGGGAGGAAGGTGACCCTCTTGACTTTCTTCAGTAACTTTGCTTAATTAAAGTTTTCTGGAGGTAACACAGTATCAGGCTCTGTCTAGTTATTTTATCTGCCATGTATGTCCATATTGTGACATGTCAACATGTGTAATTGTGGTTCGACAACTACTACCATTGTGATTCAACAGTAGGCACTTTTGGGTTTTTCTTTTCTTAGATCTGTGCATTTGCCATCAGTTTCACTCAGTAGTTTATGAAATCAAGCAAACAAAGGCTGGTGAACAGCATAATATACTTTTTCATAGTAGAAAATGCATTTTTGCTTTTGAAAATGTATTGGTTTCCTTAGTTTATCTCAGGCTAACAGGCTAACCATTATTTTGATTCATCTTTCACCTTATTTGAATGCATTAACTTCTGCAGTTTAACAAGTGTAAGTGTTTGCATCCTCACTAACATGTAATTGTTTTGGTCACTTTCTGCTGTATTTACTAATTAATTCTAATATAGTTACAATATGAGTGATACATTTCTTCAAAGTAAAACTTGATCCTAAGCGTAATATGTCAAGTTTCTCCACTGTTTATATTTATGAGCCACTTACTGTAGTTTCATCTATCAGGGAAGGACCAGTTTGTCCATCATGCTATTACTTGAACATTTCACAAGACACTTTTATCAAACTAAACATCTTTCATTTTTCTGAAATAAAAAACAAAACAAAAGGAGTCCCAGATTAGGTTTTATAATTTGAAATAATCTTTAATAGATACTTACAAACAAATCTACAGCAAGGAATACAAATAAAATGGAATATGCAAGCAAGAAGAGGTGGCACAGTGTGTGCACGCCCAGCCGTGTGCAGAGTGTGTACATCTGCACATCTAAAAACTCTTTAGTCAACAGGTGTATGATATGGCATAGACAATAAGTTGGCAATCGGACTTGTCAGTTTGTGCAGCACTTTGTGGATTGTCTTTCTTGTAATGAGTTTGCCGATTCAGGCACAACACTGATCGTGACTAATCTGCCTCACCTCTCCACTCCACTCCCCTTGAAAACACGGACACGACACCCACTGCTCTCAGATATGCGCTCGTGTGAGACCCAAGAGTAGCAGCTGTTTGTCACTTCAATAATTACACAACAGAGGCTGTTGTACTGGTTGGTTTCCATTCTCTGGGTTCAAATGTAAAACCTGGTGACATTTTTCTACTGAATAAAAACAGCTGTCCTGGGCTTCGACCACACGTGGGCTAAAATGACAAAATTACAAAAAGCAGGAGGGACACGGGGGATTAAAAACACAGATCGCACAGACAAAACAATCCCGCTGATGCATGCTACAAAATCATCACAGTGACAAAATTCTTCCCATACATTTTCTTCAGCTGTTGTTTCCATATGACTGACCCGGTGGTCAGTGCTGCTCTTCAGCTTCTTTACAGTGAATTGTTCCACACTGCAGTACAATCACTACGGAATGATCAGCTTCTCATTTATGTGCTGTGTGAAGTCTCAATTTAACATCTACTTTAAAATCACAATTAAAAAAAAACAATTAGGATCTTGTGTTATAAGCTCAATTGTTCCGACATGTGTACTTGATGCCATCGTGTGGTGGTACACCAGAAGTGCACCTCAGCACCAAGTTCATGACATTATCTTTTTGTCTTTGCACAATCACGTTTAAATTTAAAAAAGCTACAAGACAGGAGTCGGTAATCATAAAGCTGGAGGTTGTTGCAGCAGAGGTACTGATTACATATGCCACATGGACTTTAAAACCTGCAGGTTGGTACACCAATATGGTGACTGTCATGGCATCGTCTGGATCAGCATGTGTGCATAGTGCTTCAGTTATTCCTGATTTATTTAGTTAGATAATACATTAGCAGAGACTCCTTAAAAATGGGCTTTGAACCTCAGTCAAAGAGTCCAGCCGCCCACACACAGAAGCATTCTTGTTGAGTCAGTCCTGGAGATGTCAGCAATGCTGCCAAACGGGTTTCACCCCACAAAGGATCCCAGAGAAACTTGAGAAAGGGAAGAGAGGGCGTGTGAGGCGTGTGCTGTGACAGTTCCGGCGCCGTCATTGGTAGAGCAGGTAGTTCTTGAGAGAAGCTGGCAGTGGTAGTCTGTGGATTTCATTCAGTCGCTCTCTTCCTAAAGCCACCCTCACTGAACGCCTACAGAGGTCCATCAGAGAGAGGGGCTCAGCTGGAGAGAGACAGGGGGGAGAAAGGGGGTGAGAGAGGGCCTTTACTGTATACTTTTATTCAAAAATAAAGTGGACAGAAAAATTACTTATCAATATATCCACTAGGTGACAGCAATGCAAACTATATGATGCACAGACGCCAATTAAACCAATGTAGATTTTCTTTATTCATTACATGAAAGTTCAAACTGCTTTAATTCAAACAAGACATTTAAAATTCAATTAAACTTTAATATATAGAGTACACGGAGGGACAGGAATCTTGCGCACACAACACAGGACAACAATGTCCCATAAACTGGTTCCATGCAGTTGTATGTGTATCAGTGCTTGTGTGGGGTTTCCTTTTTAGACCAAAACTAGGTCAAGTGATCTAAGCTGCACATACAAAACAAACTAATGAGCACAGAGCAGCTGGGACATGGAGGCAGTATATGGTTTGATAAGAACCTATGTTTCTTCATTGAAAACTCCTGACTCTCACTATGGAATAATAGGGATTAATCCAATTAGAATCAATTCCCATTTGTCCGGGGAAAAACAAGGAGCTTGTTTTTTTGTTTGTTTGTTTTTTGCACTACAACATGAACAGGGAGTGTTTTGGAGTAATCATCATCACACAACAGCCTGGTCTTTAGAAAAGTGCAGTAAGGCCAAAAGATATAGCCCATAGTATTACTACACGTTGAAAAAAATACATGTTATCACATGTACTGCTTTGTGTAATGACACAGTGACTGTCAAAGACAACAACGGTGGCTTCCAGTAATCCTGTTCTTTACAGTCTGACAACACTGTGAATGGTATGTTTCCAGTCATTCAATGTCACCTGTGCTAATGCGACGGTCGGTCCCAAGGTGACGAGTACTACAAATACTGAAATGAAATCAAAGTAAAGGTTTGTACTTACGATCAAGACTGTTAATGTACCGGATTCGTATTTCACAGTGTCCCCACACGGCGCTCACCACCGGGTACAGTTTCCGGCCCTTTAGTCCCCTGAACGCCACGCCTAGATAATGTCCGTCAACTATGTAACCCAGAGTCCCCTCATCCATGTCCAGGACCACCATGATGGAGTCTGGAATGATGAAGGTGTCGTCCGGTTCCAGGAAGTCTGGGTAAGCTTTTCCTGGGTTGTTCTTGCCATCATGGTAGAGTTTACTACGGCACAAGTCCCAGCCCCAGGATTCAACGTTGCTTCCAACCAACGCTGTGTAGCCCACCGAGTGCAGCGGGGCTTCACTTGTAGCTACTCCAACCACGGCATGGGTGCCGCGCTGGCGCATGGCCCAGCTTATCTCCCACACGTGTAAACCCCTGGTGTACCCGATGCGGCCCCGTATGGCGTCCGTGCTCTGTGCCACGGGGTGTCGGTGAAACACCAGTTTGTTGTCGTCTTTGACGAAGATGTTGAGGGAGCGGTCGTCATTGTTCCACGAGTGCTGGACCTGGACATCCATGCCGGCAGGTGGCATGTCCAGAAGAAGGTCCAGTCGAGAGGGCTTGGTTTGATTCAGGGCCTGTAGCTCCAGGTTCAGGGGACTGAACGCCGGATCCCGCATATCAATAGTTTTGATTCCACCAGGGACTTTTTGCCCCATGCTCAGGATAATTATCGTGTCTCCTTTCTCCTCCACCTCCCCCCTCCTCACAGACCTATGGGGGGGAGTAATCAGCCTCAGATCCTTTCCACCACTGCCCTCATTCAACCTAAGAAACAGGTCTGTGCTCCTCTGTGTCCAGTAGCAGACGGCCAACGTCAGCCTGGATGTTGTATTAGGTTTACCTGGAAATGAAAAACAAGATGAACGATTGTAAATGCACTGCAGGGAAAAAAAAAACACATTCTCATTTATAGGGTACACTGTAAATACATCCGTATGACATCAACATGGCCTTTGAAATCAGAACTGAACATCTGCTTTAATTAAGATAACAAGGATTCCTTTTGAATACTTTGATGTACTACTGTAATTTAATAACAAACTCAATACACAACAACAGGTTTGCGTCCATGTGCCATGAACTGGCAAACGTTGCCTTTTCCGCCCCTTCGCGACCTTAACAGTGTAAAGCAGTAGAAGACGATGTGTATGAATGGATGACCAAATGACCAAATGTGGACAACAAGTGGCTTTTAAACAGCCCCGCTCACAGAGCTGGCTTTGTTCTCATGTGATGTTTTGTGTAGAAAAACACAAAAGTCAGCGTCGCATGACCAAAGCTGTCTGATGCAGGAAGATTTATACAGAGCAATGACAATTGATGCAGGAAGATTTATACAGAGCAATTATGACAAGAAAACATATGCAACCACCTTTTTTAGTTTGTAAATCAGAACTCAATAGTACGTCACATTTTCCTTTCTTCAGTCGACGTCAACCAGGAAAGACCAGACCAACAAGTTTCTGTTACTCATCGTGACCTTTACTAAATTGAAAGGATTATATTTAATGAGTTTGCACCTCATCAGTAAAAACACTGGGTCAGCTTTGATGTCAGACTGTAAAGCTACACGCAATCAACGACTGTGGTGAGATTTAGGAAAATATCAGAATCACAGTTATTTTAGTTTAAAACTGAAAACATGGGGCAAAACAGACAGACACGAGGGTGAGTTGACCTTTGGTCAGTTATGCTATCACCGTGGAAATGTTTTTGAACAGAAAACATTCAAAAAAAAAAAAAACAGACACTAGCAATAGCTGCAGAGTGACCACATCACAAAGCAGCAGCAGCAACAGTGGCAACAGCAACAGCAACTGCAACAGAAGCAGCAGAGCTGGCTTTTCCTGCATCCAGTTTGTAACAACGTCTTAAATCAAGTTCCCTGAAGCCACACAGGAAAAAAAAATGTTGTTTGCTGCCGCGACAAAACTCAGGAAAAACTTTTTTTAATACATGGATTGAATTACTGGAGAGAGTGACGAGGCCAGAGAAATGACAGAGGCGCTAGTAGGTACAGATGGTAGACAAAGACGGTTTTTGTCGGCTGTTGTAACCACAGTATTTCCTGTTGTCTGGGTATGTTTCAGACGGTGTCTAACTAAAGCTGTGCAGCAATACTGCTGACAAAACACGGGATGGTTTTTGAAACATATTGTAACGGCGGCAACGCAGAAAGACAATGCAACACACAGACCCAGGAGTCCAGGGGAGAACACCAGAACATCAGAAACACAAGACAATTCCAACAAGAATAACCAGTATGGCTCCTGATGGTTGCCTCCTGTCGTAACACACACCTCTGTATTCTTACATCTTTTGTCACTTGTCACTACAGAGAGCAAAAGGGGAAACTTGACAGCCACAAAAGTCACACCTGCAGTCCACTTCTGGTAAGGGGCCACGTCTATACTTATCAGGGATGTTGAAAATAATGTGTAGATTAAAATAATCTGGGGTTTTCTAGTGGAACCTGTGCTGTTCAGCCCAGGAACTTAAACCTATAACGTGACACATGACTGCACTCATGTATAAACACACAAACCAGATACTATACCAGCACTGTAGATCATCAACTTTATTTTGGCATCTTCCTTAATATTCATGTTTTTATTAATAATAATAATATTAACAACAACAACAATAATCAAATATAATGTCGTCTTTGTGGATGTCTTGGTTTGCCAAAATTAAATGACACTACACTTTCAGTTTAGAACAGTAAGTGGGGGTATTCAGATTGTGTTTAGTGGCCACTGTTTAACGAGGCCCCCTAAAACCAGAGCTTCCATGGAAATATTCCTTGTGTACAGCTCTACCACCAAGGACAACTGTTAAAAGTATCCATACGGCAGGAGATGCTGTGGATTTAAAGGTCACTGCAAACCCTCAGTCTCCACCACAGGGGTGGGCCGTTTGTCCACGGTGACAAATTGTTTGTCCTCTCCGTCATCATGACTTTTATCGACTCCCGTTTATTTAACAAGCGAAAACAACAGAAGATCAGCCAAAATGATTTATGTCGTAGTAAAGTAGTAAAAAACAACCACAGACAGAAGTTAAAAAAAATAGAAAAACAACAACAAAAACATTCTGCCCCTGTATGAACATATTATATACTATATGTCTGATATTCCTGAGATAAAAGTGCAATCATTCAAAACCATAACAAATGAGAGCTGTACATAAGTTTATTGTGTTAGTGCACAAAAAGCAGCAAATACTTAACTGAGTTACTTAGCATTTATAGTCTAATATTATTTTTCTATTTTTATTTACATTTCTATTTTTATTACATTTTTATAATAATTATTTTACAATGTTGTAATGTATATTATTTCTATTCAACACATTTTATCAAAAAATATTTTTAACAGACTTTCTATTCAACACATTTTATCAAAAAAATATTTTTAACAGACTTTGGAAGTGCATTAGATTGCTTATATATAGAATACAATGAAAATAATGCCCTGTTTACAACAATGGCTCCAATCCAGTACAAGAGCAGAACAGCACATACTGTACATAAAACACAATTCACACTACTCATGTTGGAGGCGGGACAAAAGAAGCAGGAAGAACCTGCAAGACAGAGAAACTTCCTTACTGTATAAAACATCATAGCAGTTCAAACTTGCATTTAATAAAAAAATGTCTTTAACTGAAATGACTGTATTTTATAAATGGTAACCAGGACACAGTGCTCAGAAACAGAAGGTATATTCCTGTGCTGTGGATTTTACCTTACTCAGCTATTATGAAAGTGAAATACTGCATTCCCACAAACTCCAAAAATAGAGGAGCAGGAAAAAAAAAAAAGAAAAACCTCCAGCCTTTTCCTATTATATGGTTGTCTAGTCAGAGGCCAACAGGAAAGCAGTAATAAAATGTCTGGCTTAAAAAAAAAAAAAGAAAAAAAAAGGATGTTCCGTCATGTCTAACCCTATGTCTCTTTTGAGGAACAAGCAGTTTTTGGCATGCAGAAACTTGATTATAAAATTCAGATGAATACCTGCTGTGCTTTCCTTTCATAAAAGAACAAAGCTAACTTTTTTTTTGTAACGTAACCATGAGGTTCTTTTTAAGCACAGATGTGCAGACTGACTCATCAGACTACATGTATCTATGGGCAGTAGTCCTTATCCACACCGGTGTTAAGGTGGCAGCCAGACCAGAGTGTGGTGAGGTCAGTCTGCAACCTCATGGTTGAGCTGTTAGTCTAATGCTTTCCTGGGTGACACAACCTGGGGCAGACCGTCGTTACACCAACAGACATGTCACCATTTTTAGTTGAGCAACCCAGACGTTTGCTTATTTCACTGCAAAAACAAAAAACACTACAGCAAAAAAACAAAAACCCATATATGTGGGTGGTATGTATATATATATATATATATATACATACATATATAAAAACATATATATGGAAAGTGCAACCACTTCTGTTTTTTAAGCAGGTAGTAAGAGTTTCGTAATACACCCAATGGGATCGTGAACTATTATAAATTGATTTACATAATGATTTATTTTATTTTTTCCATTGCCTTATATGTCAACAACGGGTTCAACGGAACCCAACAGTTGGTTAGTTGGTTAGTTGGTTAGGTGACATGGACTCAACACGTGTCACTGGGTCATGTAGAGTCCTTAACCACTTGGCTAATAAAACATAAGGGGTGTGACCAAAGTAAAAGAGAGGATGTGAGCTGCACAAGAGATGACATTTGTTACTTCTCAACAGCCAACAATAATGCAGATGACATGGCAGAGCTTCCACACGTGCCCCTTCCTGTCTAAGTATATTGGATGTGATGAATTCCGTCCCCATTACTTAATGTTTAAAGCTAACTTTATTTAAAAGGAATTTCATTACAGACCCTTCTGACTTTGAACTGAATTTAACTAACTTAAATTTATTGTGAACATATTATATTTATTTCCATTTTTTTTCACTCAAAAACAAAACATGCAGAAGTGTTTTGAGAGAAGAACTGTTTTTGTCCAATACCAAGAAGGATATTCTGCTTCATTTGAATATAATTTGGTTAATTTATTAGTGGATGTGAATATATGTATTGGACATTTATAATTGCCATTAGGGTTTAATAATTGTTTTATAATAATTTTACAACTGTAACTGACAGCCTACTTGTCGAGTGATCAAAAAATAACGGCCTGATTTAACGACCATGTTAATAATAATTAGTGACAGCTCAAAAACCACTTCTTAACGAGGGACGTGATGCGGTGTTTTCATGGATGCAGGTGTGAGTGCTGCTTCTCTTTGGTCCTTCAAGTCTGGCCTATGTTGCAGTAGGGCTCTGGAGAGCATTGTGTAACGTGGAAAATTGCTTCTGGGAAGGCCACTCTAATTTAATTGTAGACAAGAGTTCATTGAGAAGTGCTTTGGCTCTTCTTCTTATGCAAGTAAACACCCATTTAAATGGGTCATGTAGCTCCAGTGATTTAAAAACAGGAGGGAAGAGAAAGAGAGCAGCGGGTGGCCAGCATCTGAATGTAAACATCTCTTTTGCGATGCCTGTCTAGTATTCAAAGGGAGGGGAATGTGTTAATTTGCACACTGTTGAATGAACAGTTTCATTTCCTTTGCCTGTGGCAAAAAAAGGGGAGTCGGGGGGTGGGGGAGGTAGTTATGTTTAAAAAGAGCACAGAATCCTATCAAAAACAAAACTAAGATCAGGTACATTCAGTCTCAGACCAATATCACAGACAACTGCAATAAATACATTTATATATTAGAGAAATTGAACACAGATCTTTATGATCTCTGTCCAATAGACAGTGGTTCTCAAACTATGGTGTGCGTATTACTGGTGGCACTTGGACTCCCCCGAGGGGCATCTCCTCAAGTCTCACTGTTATGTTTGTGCCTTTTTATTGTACAAAGTAGTTTTGTAAAGATAACAGGGCAAACATTTTATTAATAAATAGAAAAAAAACTCCTCTTGAATATTGTGTTTATCCAAACACGGTTGACCTTTGCTGCTGTATAATAATGGTTATCATACTGGTACTGGCTTCACCTTTAACTTCAACGTTGCAGAAACATGAATCCAACTCCACCAAAGATCATTTCTCTGCACAGCCCAAAAACAAGCAGTGACTGAATTAGGTTTGTTTGCAGTTGTCAAGGGAGAAAACAGTTTCTTCTGAGCAGAAAGTCAAATACGCCACTGTTTGTCTGTTACAATAATACTCGTCCCTGATGATGTCTAGTCATCATTCTCTGCTGTCTGCTTTCTCACTCAGCAACACTACTGCCAGAGCTGCACTTTACCATAGGATCAATAAGAACCAAGTCTCTGTGAAATAATTTTCCACCTTTAAAATATTAAGGAGTTATTTTAAAGGTAACAGATGGCAGTCAATCAACGGTGTCTCCAGGAAATGACTGTTTTTTTTAAGAATCTTCTTTCCTAACCCCTGATGTACCCGACAGTCCTTACACGGAATGCTTCCGCCCTTGATTTGACATAAATTAACTCAACAAAATTAAATATTTACCCTTCTAAATTTTGACTGAAGAAATAAACATGAGTTAGTAAAGTGTTTCTACTAAATAAGCTGTTTGGGAGTCCTGGGCCACTGAGTTGGTTTGGAGCTAATTAAAATTCTAGAGAAACACTTTGCCAGATTTGCTGTGCCAAGAAAAGAAAAAAACATGTCTCTATTCTACAGGCTAATTGAGACCCCACATACCTGAACCTGAACCAAGAGTGATCTTTTAACTGCCTGACATTTAACATTTAAATTTAATTACAATGTGTTTGTTGGAATACTTTTATCTTATACTTTCTTCACTCGATGACGTTTCAACCAGGTATCTCTTCATGAAACTAGAGACTGTTATAATCCTCATTAGTCATTTAATTGCTGTTGTACTTTGTTCCTGTATTTGGTGCATTCTGTTCCAGGTCAAAAGGCACACCTCACTAAAATGAGCATTGTCTGATTTAGAGCTGTACATCTGAAGCCCTTTCTAACAGGAGTTTAGAAACACCACTGCATCAGTCATGTGAGGTAGACGTACATGCACAGAAAGCAACCACACACACTACATGCTAGCTCAACACCAGGAGAGTTGTTTACAACAGTGACCAGGCAGAACTCTATGAACCTGTAACATGAAAAGTCATCATCACAGCTGCTGATGTATTCTTTCATCATCCACTTAAAACTTCCAGAAGTTCTAGAATAATAAAAAGCAACAAATCAAAATTGTGTCATATTTGATTGTTTGTTTTTTTACTCCAATCAAAATTGTGTCATATTTGATTGTTTTTTTACTCCTAAGGAAAATAGATATAAACTAAACGCATTTTGACTAAATACTAACTAAATACTAACAGCTACAGAGCAAACATGTGACATAGGACTATCTAAATACATGATGAAATGAGCCATAAAAACTGCCCATCTGTATAAACAACAACACACTGAATATATAACCAGGGACGTTCATCCTAATGGCAGATGCACAATAGTTGCCCACGCACATAAATTCCAAAATCTAATATTATCAGTGAGAACCCTTCAGCATACCTCAGCTAAAATTGCGTTCTGAAGCAGATTTTGACATCCACACTCTGAAGTCACACAGACCTGAACACTTCTTGCGCTGTCTCCCTAAGGCGAAAAGTTAAAGCTTTGTTTAAGCTTCAGAAAGGTACAGTGACAAAGATAAAGTTTTCTACGTGTCCATTTTCAGATGTCTTTTGTCCTAGCTGTCAGCTCCAGATAGATGGTTAGTTTACTTTAGTCCTCCATTTTTAGTTTGCCTAATTTAATACTGACAACTGCCGTGTTCTGTCAACATGTACGGTTGTATCATGTCACGTGTTTTGTCAGCGGGTCAGGCAGAACTCCACAAATGGGTGGTGAAGCCTTCAAATCAAACATTTCACACTCACTTTGGATGATAAATAATCACATTCTGTTTATCTTGGATAGGGGGTTTAGACATCACCAACAGCAGCAGTAATGGTACAATGGTATGTTATCAGATACTCAATTGAAATCTTTCCTAAAGGCTAATCAACAGGAGCCAACTACAAAATACCCTAACACTCACTGCAAATCAGGCATTAGTTGGAAGCATTTCTTAATTTAAACTGGCTGTTTATATTTAGAAATATATGTCGTAAACATTTTATGTAAACACTTCTAGACAGACAAGTGATGCATTGTGCATTACGTGCTGATAGGCTACGAAAAGCCTTGTTTTCATGGTCTGATATACCGTAGAAATTTCGGACTTCTCGCCAATTTGTGTTTCTCACAGTTTCTCTGTGTTTCTCATTGACCACAGGCTGGGCCACTGTGAGGTCGTGTCTGGGCATCATGTGGTCTGTGGAGTTTAAGTTATACAGGGTTTGGTTGGTCAGAGTCATATCGGCTGCACAGGATATGTCCAAGTGTCCCCTCCTGTGGCCGTATCCCAGCCCTCCTTCCAGCACTACTTCTTGCTTTTATGAGATCAACTGGTATGCTTTGATTTGCAGTACTACCATCGTCCGGTTCGACACTGATAGCTTTACTAACAATAGTAATAATAATAATAAATAATAAATAAAAACATGGCCAGAGGGCTGCGTCCAGTATATAAGCAACCCACTAATGAATTCTTATCGTCAAATTAAATGACAGACGAGATGTACTTCGAATTTACTCAGATCAATTTTTACACACTGACTGATTTGTAAAAACGACTTTTGCTCGAACCAAGTACTCAGGAAAAAACCTAGCACCTGAGCTTAGCAGCTTCGTCTTCATTTACCAGTATAGCTTGTCATGCTAGGTAAAGCAAGGGAAACCTGGTCTTCATCTGAAGACTTGTGGACAAGGAAGACAAAATTTTAAGGCCCGAAAAAAAAAAAAAAAACAACTTACCTCCAAGACCACGCACACAATCAACTTGTGAATCGAATCGTTGTTATTTTATTTATTTTTTAATCTTGCCTCCTGTTTACCTGTGGCTCATCTGCCTCTCGATATGTGGATTGCACCAACATCAACAAACAAACACAGGTCGTAGACTTTAGCGTCAACTGGAGCTCAAGGAGAAAAAATAAAGACGAAAACGCATATAAAGGAAGTTTTCTATGATTTACAGGCCGGGATATTTGACGTTTTTGTTACCGAACATGTCAATGTGGTGAATAGTAAAACCTGAAAGGGCGCCACCGTATGAGGGAAGAAAGCAGAGGAGGAAGAAAAGCTTCACGGCTACAACTGACCTGTTAGAGTCGGTCAAACTGCAGCACAGCGGACGAACGGACTGACGACACCGAGGAAACACGTCACCCTCACCGCTGCCTCACACACTCCATGTTGTCGGTGTGTTTCCTTTGCACAGGAGATGTTAACGTTTCAGGCTGGACATGAATTGGGTGAAATGATGATGGCTGCTCTGTAACATCCCCACAGTCACGTGGTCCAGGGCTCCCAGCTGCTTCGCTAGATTAGGACCTCCCTACAGACTGACGAAGTACGCTTCACGTTGACGTATGAAGCTCGTCGTTTAAAAATGTAACTTTAATTTTGAGAAATTAACAGAAAAATAACAGTTTGTCACATTAGATAACGATGTATGACGTCATGCAAGGTATCGCTGTTTTTTCCTATTGTTTGTAAATACATTTTGAAAACGTCAACGCTTTAACGACCTATAATGACGTCATTGAAATGTCACGGATATAAAACACACTTTTTTAGAATATAAAATCATTTTAAGAAAAACTCAAGTGTTATCAAATACTTTTTACACCACCTATCCAAAATTTAATTTTTTTAAACACTTTTATTTGTGAAGATTCATGAAAATGTCACATCATTACTTAAGTTCCAACGTCGTAGGAAATGCCAGAATTTATTTTTTTTAAAGAAAAAAAGATATAAACTGTCAGTAACATATTCATTTAATGGTCTTCGGTTATTTAAATATATTTTTAATATTTAGTATTTTAATAGCAATATTTTATAATTTAAACATGCAGCCTACAACATTTAATTACAATAAACTGTTCAATAAATAACATTAGAGAGAACTGGAAATTAAACCTTTTCAAAACGTTTGAAACTTTGCACAAAAAAAATCTTTTCTTTTACCATCAGTGAAAGAATATGGAAAAGAAGCACTTGTTCAGCCTGTGGAAAAGCGTGGAGAGAAGGTCATGTCCTGGTACAAAAGACATCCCACAGAAGTCTATGGAGGATTTCTTACACCACCTATACGTGTGTGCAGTACAGTGGTGAAAAACTATGACAGTGTTGCCATCTAGTGGTTCATTTTCTAACAAACACCTCCAATCTCGGGCGACGATCCAGTGCACATGTAGCCTGCAGAAAAATCAATCACTCTCTCTGCTAACACTTCTGTTACCGATATAGTTTTTTTTAAAGAAGGTGCAGATTGTTGTAAACAAGAGCTGAAACACCGATGACCGGTCGAGTGCTCAGTGAACATCCTCCTCCTCTCCACTTCCCTTTTTAACTTTATCACTCCTGCATGTTTTCACAGCAGGCGCCTGAGATCAGGGCTGAGATTTATGAGACTCCTACAATGACCTTATCTGTCTGCTGTGAGGCGTCTGAAGGAAAGTTGACTCATTTTACGTCCTTTGTAGCGAGCGTACACCTTGACGACTTAAATTACCCTCTCCTCAGCTCATCTCCCTACGAAAATCCCATTTTCCCATACCAGGATGGTGCAATGTGCTGAGCTCGGTGATATCTCAGGGCCCCTTCCACAGTGGAGGAGGGGAGAACAGACATGCTTACTGCCGTACGTTTAGAAACCATCATTGCCGCAGGATCAATAGTGCATCCCACTCCATGGCTGGCAGAGTGCATTGCCTCTATGGGGGCGGTGGGGTATAGTGAATGGTTGTAGTTGTAGTGGTGGTGGTGGTGGTGGTAGGGGGGTGGGAGTAAAAGTGGACAGCTGCACCTAGGCAAGTCAGAGCAGCGAACGCTGCTGAGGTGAATGATGGCGTGCTGCGTCAGACGCTCAGCTCTGCACTTGTTCTCAGATGCAGTTTCTGAGCTTGGACCAAAGGGAAGATGCTGTCCTCAAGTGGTGGATGCAGGCAGTCCCAGGATTTATTAACTGTAATACAGTGTGTGGACTAGTTCAGTTGTAGTTCACAGTTTTGAACTGAAATGTGCCCTGGAATAAGAAAAAAAAAGTGCCCTTTCGGCAGCTTGTACAAATCCTCTTAATATCTTCTTCTTTTTTTTTTTTTTCCAAGTGCTCCATTCCTCTTTGACTGCACTGGAGGGTGAGCGCTGAAATAGACTCATGCTGTTGGTGAGAAGCCATCTCAGGTTTCAGATGGCTTGCAATATTAGCCCTGCACCGTCCGGCATCATAAATCAGAACTCCTTAGTCAGCAATTTAAATAATCCTTTTCGGTTTTTAGAGGTGTGTGTGTGTGGGTGTGTGTGTGTGTGTGTGTGGGTGGGGGGGGGATTGAAAATCATTAGCTCTGACCTTAGATGTTTATAACACAATTGTGTTAGAAAGGCAGACGAACAGACAGACGAACAGACAGGCATATACTTGGATAGATACACATATAGATTAGAATAGATTTAAACAACTTCAGTTCACAATCATAACTATTTAATTCAGTAAAATCTATTATAGTAATATTTCCCCTCCACAGTAACACGGTCTTGTGAAGCCTGACAAAAATGAAACCTGACTAAGTATTTTTACTAATACTATCACTACTAACTGAACTCCTTTTACTAATGCTATTTTTTTTTTTTACTATTTCTTTTTTTCTTTTCTTGTGTCTGTCAGCGACCATGTCCTCAGCTCTAATGTACCTGCGTGACTTTGAGAGGCGAGTGTGCTGCTGCTGTGGATGCAGCAGAGGAGGTGCAGCAGAGGAGGTGCAGCAGACGAGGTGCAGCAGAGGAGGTGCAGCAGACGAGGTGCAGCAGAGGAGGTGCAGCAGAGGAGGGGCAGCAGAGGAGGTGCAGCAGAGGAGGTGCACCACTGCGGGACACTGGGATGTGGATGGGACAGGATGTGTGGTGCAGTACGAGCATCCCCTCCGCTCAGATTGCTGTTCATTTGTCAAGTCGCCAGCGGAATTGAATGGTGCATTGCTGCTAAAGCGCAGAGAGGCGATCAGCACTGGAACAGCACACCTCTGGGGAAGGGTCCCAGGTGAGATCCCCCTTGTATGAGCCGTAGATTAGGGGAGCTTTTTTTCTCCTGCGAACGACTGGAGAAAATACATGGATCTCCTTTGTCCTAGTTCACAGCCACTTTATCCGTAAGCATGTCGGATCATTCTTCACTGGGAACACAAGTCAGAAACTTAAACACACAGATTATGTGGAGAGAGTTCTTCTGTCACAAATTGAGAAGAAAAAAACAGGCTAGCCTGTAGCACGGCTTGAATACTAAAAGAAAGTCTCATTTATTTTCTGACCTTGAATGGAAGCTGCACTGATATTTCAAGGACATCCTTGTTGAAACGGCAGCTAAACGACAGGCACACAGAGTTCACCCCGCAGGTCGGAGCCAGCCGATTGGCTGTGCTCTGGTATCTGCTGCTACCGGTTGTGGGAGATCATTGTAGGCCTCGGATTCACCACATGTGGCTCCGGTGATTGTAGGTCCAGCACACGCTGTGGAGTTCACACGGTGGAGGTCAGCTGCAGATGGACGGACGGATGGAACAGAGACAGAGACAGAGACAGAGACAGAGACAGAGACAGAGACAGAGACAGAGACAGAGACAGAGACAGAGACAGAGAAATGTGTTTGTTATTTGTAGTAGAAAAGAAAGAAAGACTATGTAATGTTGCAAAACCAACTCACAGTGTCCCTGACTTTAAAATATGGCATCAGACACATGTTCCAGCTTCACTTGTCTGCACTGCTCTGTGAATGTGACACCTTTCCTCTGCTTTACAACGGCCTCATCAAACTAACGGAATGGTGAAGATGCCAAATGTGTCAGGAATCACCCTGAAGCTGCTGAAAAACTTCACCGAAAAATCTTACGCCTGCTGAAGTCTGCATCTGTCACACACACACACACACACACACACACACACACAGACACAGGCCTTTCTGCAGAGGAGCCTATAAGCTATCTATATCTGCCCCAGTCTGATTCACTTCTTTTTTTCCTGACGGTAACAAATGGCAGTAGTGGATGTAAATGTAGGCCAGGAGTCAACACACATTTCCAGATGACAAGAGAACTTGTTGTCGTCGTCGTCGTCGTCGTCGTTGGTGTGTATGATACACTCCTCCAACTCCCTGGAATACAGAACGTAACGTCGCAGAGAGGAGGGCTGGAATAAAAACACCGACAGAACAGTGGGGGGTAAACCACACACAGGGGACCGTGTTCACCGCAGCGTTGTTTCAACCTACAGCCTGGAAATGTTCTGTTCTACATAAACACACTAATATTAAAGCCTTTAGCTGGACGTCATTATATCGAGGAACAAATCATTTATTGCCGCGCGGTCACACCACAACGTCAGGCTCTTTCTAATGTGTCACATCTGTAGGTGTAAAACACACACAAACACAAAATGAAAAACGACATAAAAAACTGAAAATAAAAGGAGAGAAATGACAGGATGAGGTGATGGTGTCATGGAAACAAATTCAGAAACTAGGAGAAATAATGATTTTTTATTTTATTTTATGGCAACTTTTCTCTCTGTATGTTTTAAATCCCCTGAAGTAGATTGATCTTTTGGATTAAAATTAGTGACTTCTAATTAGTGATAATAAAAACAAACACTATTTCTCTACTTATTCTCCACTTAGGCTGGACTCTGCTAGAAAGAAGGGAATGTCTTTTACATCAGGTCACAGTTTTCTTCTTTGCCTCATTTAAGGACTAAAATCAAGTGCTTTACAAAATCCTTGTGAGCTACTGGAAGAAAAGAAAAACATTTGCGAGGATTTATAAATTTTAAATGGTGACACCAAAGGCTTAGTTAAAAATGAAATGTTTTCTCTGATTTGAAAAGATTTCTGTTGAGTGTAGAACTCCTGACCAAATGTTCAGATCTGACCTTTTGACTCAGACTCATGTACTTATAATAGTCTTTATAGACTTATAATATTCTGGTAGAATATTCTGGTAGATGTAGAATGAGGGATGTATCATTACTTATAAATGAAAATCTTGTTTGTAGCAGTTTTTAGGAGGTTGATACGACACGAACACACTGAACACTACGTCTTAGTTATCGGTTCAAAACTGTTTCAACATTTCAAACACATTTTCTTCCAAAGGTTAAACACACACACACACATACAGCAGACAAAGCAAATACCATTAGGATCTATACGTGTTTTTTATCTTCAGCTTTAGTGGTTTTATAAGAGTAAGTGTGTAATCAAGGCCACTCTGTTTGAGTCTCTTTTAACCAAAGCTGATGTGTGTGGTGCTTTGTTACCACAGCAGTCAGTACAGAGAGCAGAATCGGTAACTGTGTCCTATAGCATGAGAGAGTGCACTCCTGGGATAGGCAGCAGTGATTTTAAACATATTGCAAGGGTTGTTTTTTTGTTTTTTTTCTCTCCTACTGAGGAAGAAGTGATGACTCCTGGCACCTACTCATGTTTCCACCTCAGCCTGTCAGAACAGGATCTTTAATGTCACCACGGCTAATGTTGCAGGCGATTAAAAAGAAAAAGAGGGAACCGAAAAGGAGAACGTCGCCGTCAGTGAAATAAAAGATTGAAAAACGCCGAACCCTCCGCACTTCCGTTGGCCTACAGTCAATCCTGCACAACCTGGTGTGACCTGTTTCGTAGTTGACGGCGTGTCTTTTTCACTCCACTTGGCCCTGGGAGGAATCTGCCCAGCTTTGCAAAATGAGGTCAGCAAAGAAGCCTTGGTGCAGTGAAACACACTGCACACCTTCCACAAAGTCAGGATCCCACAATTCAGCTGGAGCGTCAACGCCAGACTGGCTGTACTGTGAGTGCACAGACAGGGGGAGACAATACGTTTGGTTGAATTCTAGCTAACGTGCATCAGTGAAAACACAGAGCTGTAGTTTTTCTTTGGCACTGACGACCTTCCCTACAGTCTCATGATTACTTCAGCTCATTTAAGACACCGTCGATATTTCTAGGAATGAATCCCGCAGTGTTTCGTCGACATTAAAAAAAAAAGATGACATCTTCACAGAAAAGGCCTTTAAATCTACACATTTATTTAAAAACTCATCGTGAGTCCGTCGTCGGTCAAGACAATTCTGCACCCTGATTGAAGACGCCCGAGAATTAGTCCGAGTTGATGGTAAAGCCAGCGGGCTGCTGCGCTCATAAATCAATGTGTCTATTATCTTTTCTGTGCAGATCAATAAAGCAGAGGAATGAACTGTGAACAGGAAAAAAAAAAGGCGCAGCTTCAGTGATCCGGCTTGACTTCATTATGGTCATGTGTCACTGCTGTCCATACCTGACAGATAACCATTTTCCTCTCAGATGAGCATTAGCCCAGTTTTTTTTTCTACAGTTCCTCTGATGAGTCGTCTGTCGATCTTGATGTTGATCTTGATGTTGATGTTGATGTTGATGTTGATCTTGATGTTGATGTTAATGCTACAAATGTATTTAAAACATAATAACACCCACTGAGTGAAGAACTGCTTCACCAACTGTGGCTGAGTCATTTTTGGGACTGGTCATAAAAATGCATTTGAACTGCCAAGGTCTGAGTCTGATGAATATTCTGACATTTGTTTTTTTTACAATCATACTGTTGCTTGGTGTATGGAAATGAGAGAAGTGTTGGGAAAAAAAGTCCACTTATCAAAAACTAATAATGACAATCACCGTGAAGGTCTTTTGGTGTTTATTCCACTGTGGTATAAAAAAAAACTCAGAAAATTTAGCACACACATAAAATCAATAAACTGAGCTGTTTTTTTTCCTCAGCAAAAATAATTCTGTTTGTTAAAAATAAACACCTTCAGAAAATGAAGGTACAGTGTAGCTTTACATGACATATTTTATAGCATTTTAAGGAAGAATAGAAACTATTCAGAAAAATTAGATGAAAGACTAAAATATTTGTGTTCATTTAAGGCTTTACATTTATTAATACCAATTATTCACATTTTATCAATTATAATAATTGACAAAAATATGTATTTTTTTCAATTGAAATCTGTTTTGCTTGATGACTGAATCATTGAATAGAAAAAAGAAATGTTATTTTTTTACTTTCATTTATCTGTACATTTTTCTGCTACATTCAGGTATTATTGAAAACCCACAGTGGAATGGCATTAATTATATTTAACATTTTAAGAATTTCTTTGACCCTGAACCTCGTCATGCCGTTTATTGTTAGCTGGCGACATCGATCGCCTGTAGCGGCATCTGCTGTAGCTGACAGTGGTGTCTGTTCTTATAGCAACATGTTTTACGTTGGTGAGACTGCAGACATGAAGGGCTGCGTTGAGAAAACATTATATCAGAAAATGTCTCTGTCCGCTGTTCAACAAACTTTGACGTCCATCCTGTGCGACTTCTTCATGGCAGGAAGACAAACCATAAGCACATTACCGCCATCTGCAGGGCTGGAGTGTGTGTACCGTTATGTTGCGTTTTGCACATGGAATATTCATTTGTACCTCTTATTTTATCCGTCATAAATAGTTTTTTTATTCACCGTGTTGATTATCAAAAGTATTCATTATTTATTTGGTTGATCATCAGCCCATTGTTCTGGCCTCACAGTCAGATATTGACTCTAACCTCGTCCATGAGCTATAAGCTAACAGAGCACATTCAGAGGAGTGGAGCTCCAGAGGCCGAGGTGACAGCAGTCAGGTGAAGCACACGGAGGAAATCTAATAAGACATGTGAAAAGGCCCCTCCTCATGGCTTATTCATTAGGTGGAGGAGATGCTGCAGGGGCATTTTCCCTCGGTGCTACTGACTACTGAAACAGAGAGAGGACAGATGCTGCAAGGCTCAGCAGACTCTGCTGCAGCGTGGCGCCTGGCGGCGTCTTTTTGTGGGGGGGGGGGGGGGTGGGGGAGATGATGCCTCACACTCATCCGACTGCAGTTTGTGAGTAAGACATATAGCTTTGATTAATACTGACACCGACTGATATGAAGGAGCTTGATGTGCTGCAGCCGAGACCCCAAAGTAGGGGAGATGCTCCATTATGTCGGTTTGCTGATTCAGGGAATCTGCTCCAGCCGAGCTGTGTTTTATTGGAGCAGAGACACAGATGCTAAATCAGAAGGACGGCTTTGTTATAATACACACATTCCAACCTACAGGAGAAAACAATTAAACATCCATCAGGCATGGATGGATTAGAGGTTAATGAGAGATGCATGCAGCTGTTAATGTTGCACCAGAGGATAAAAGATCACAGGGTTCAAACGAGGGCCCGGCAGAACAAAGTCACTCAGGAGGAAAGAGAAGAAAAAAAAAAAAAAAGAAGAAGAAGCCTGCTCCTGCAGTGAGCAGAACATGCTGCACTGCTGTGGAGCATGGCCAAGATGCTGAGAGCTCCAATGCACACAATTCACACTGAAGGGAAGCCATCCCACAGTGCACTGCAACCATCATTAAAGAACGCATGACAAGCGTACCACCAAGTGCGCCATTGTGAGGCACAGCGATGCAGGACAGGAAGTTCAACGTTATTGGCTGACGGGATGATGGATGTTCTCACTCTCTCAGAGTTGTGCACCGCGCAAAAAGACTAATTTAGTTGGTCAAGATATTTCTATGTTTTTGCGCACTGCAGATTAGCACCACCAAGGCATCTTGGGTAATGAAGTGTGAGTAAATTAAGGACTTTTCCTTTTTACTTAAGAGAGAATTGAAACAAGGACATAAACTCACCACCAGAGTTCATCATCGCTAACCGTTAATCAACGAAGCGTGCACGAGAACGATGCGGCGGTTTACAGGTCATTTCAAACGTTTCTCTCGCTTTGACATATCTGGTGAAAGAGACATTTGTTTAACTTATTGATGTGTGTTGTTCTTTTTTTTAACCTCAAATGTTTTTTAGCATGCTTCATTTGCAATCGGCCGCCCAGACATTAAAAAAAACAAAGAGATTTTGTGACACGTTGAAAGTACACCAAAGAACACGGCCTTGGAGATTGGAGAGCATTAATTTCTGATTAATAAGAATATGTGTGTGTGTGTGCGTGTGTGTGTGTGTGTGTGTATAAGGAGAGGGTGTCAGATATGTCCTTTACAATGATGATCCTTCAGGGTGTCAGTAGAGCAAAAGGAGGGTAGGTTTGCTGAGGAGGACAGAGAGGAGAAGAGGTTAGACTCTCTCTCTCTCTTTCTCTCTCTCTCTCACACACACACACACACACACACACAAACACCACACATACGCACACACACTGACCCCGGAGGTTGCATTCCCCTTTAAAAGTCCCATCCCACTCAGATACGCAGAGCTCATGCAGGATCTGCTGCGGCAGTGGGGGAACACTGCTGAGCTGTGCAGTTTGTGCTGCCAGCAAGCGTGCTCTGAAGAGGAGGGGGAGCAGGCGCACACCGGAGGAGGAGGAGGAGTGATGGAGAGAGAGGGAGAGAGAGAGTGCAAACAATGTCATTCTGTTCAGGAGGTAATGCTGCAGTCAACTTTGCCACGCCATGAGAGCACATCAGCAGCAGCCAAGAGGCTCAGAGAGAGTGCAGAGAAGTTTTCCTCCTCGCCTGCCGGGGTGTCTTCAGCTGCAGAGAGCCATCTGTAGGCAGAGAGGCCCCTGTGGGGGCACCCCCTTCTTTTCCCCTCTCCTCTTTTTTTTTTTTTTTTTTTTTTTTTACCCTGTGTGTTGTCTCTCCTTGCATGTCTTTCTCTTGTTTGTCCCAGAAAATGTTTTACTTGTTAAATTAAGACTGTGCATGCCGGCCGAGCCGAAGCCCCGGCTACTTCTGTCTGATCAGTTTCAGCCTCCTCTGCACCAGTAATAACCAGGCAGCAGCCAGGCGGTTAGCAGTCAGACCTTACTGCTCCCTCATTCATGTTTAACACATGGCACAAGCTAGAAATAGCAGCCAGCGTGTCAGGTAGCTGCTGGTAGAAGGGACTGGCCACTTGACGTACGTAGGAAGTAAAGAAAACACAAAGATGGTGCAAAGAGTTTCCTGCCCTGACGGAGTCTTTCACCTGCTGACTTTGCCGTTTGAAGACAAACAAAAGGCAAAGTCAAAGATCTTCTCGGCCCAGGCTCGTCTCGTGTGAGTGTGAGTGTGAGTGTGATGCAGGATACCTGTGTTTGTGTGAGTGCTCCTGCACTGGCTCTGTCTGAAAGGAGGAAATGAGAATGAGGCTACAGTGGCCTGCATGGGACACAGGGCTGTGCTGCAGTCATGAAGTTGTGCTCTAGCTTACCGGGACTTTCACAGTCGTACAAACTGAATCTTGGGGCAAAACAAATTTCCAAATCGCTCTTATTGTTTATGTACCGTAGAAACGTACAAGTCTTTGTTTCTCAGAGCGGCGCAGATCGTCCACAGGCTGGTCCCTCTGCAGCAGCAGTGTCCCACAGGCTTTGTGGGAAACCGATAAAAGTAAATGCAACTTCTGACTCTGCAGTATTGTATATTTATTTTAAAACAACTTTGAAAAACAAACTAATTTTGTTTTTTTGAATTAAAATATAAAAGTAATGTTATCGTGTTTTATCGTGCACCGAGAGCACACAGAGAGAGTTTAGGAGGATGGATCCAGTCAGGTCAGCCCGCCTCCCTGTGGGCTCACAGACATCTGGGTTCACCTCAGGTAACTGTGCTAAGACCTTGAGCCAGTTCTGCGTCGTGAGCAGGATCCTGATCCGGACCCTCTCTGGGGTCTTTGTGTGAGAAGAAACTGCACCAACAGTGTCCAGAGCCTGACATCATCTTCAAACATCTGCAGTTCTCTGCTTGATCACCTTCACTGGGGGCTAGCTGCTGCTGCTGCTGCTGCTGCTGCTGCTGCTGCTGCTGCACTGCCAGCACACACAATTGCCGCACTCACCTGATGTTCCTCGTACCTCACTTCTGCCCCCCCCCTTTCCTTGCCTCCTTCTCCTCCTCCTCCTCCCCTTCCACCTTTTCTTCCACCTCCTCCTTTTTGCTTGTCTCTAATTTCTCTACTGTAGTCTCTCTCTCTCTCCCTCTCTCTCTCTCTCTCTCTCCCCCTCCACCCTCGTCTGATGTACAGTTGCCCAGTACAGAACCTCAGCAGCATGCTTTGCACCTCAGTGATTCTGCCCCCCCCTTTCCATTTCTGAAACAGTATGCAGCACATGCTGCTCTTACTATCCTCCTTGAGCAATTTGCCTGAGTGAAGAAAGACTGGAGGTCTGAAAGGAGAGAGAGAGAGGGAGAGAGGGAGAGAGGGAGACAGAGAGAAAGAGAGAGGGAGGGAGGGACGGAGAGACACAGCGAGGGGGAGAGATAGCAGGAGAGCAGCAATCCTGCAGTGTCCTGCAGCAGCTGAGTTCCTGCAGTGTTGGCCTCTGCTAGCACACACACACACACACACACACACACACACACACACACACACACACAGGCAGATGAACACACGCAGGCTCAGATACACACAGATACTTTCACACACAGATGCACACCATCAGTCCCATCGTCCCGTCTCAGACTCAGACGGTCCGTCGGTCATGTGACACAGCGGCTGTTAATGTGAGGCGGAGCAGAGCGTCCCACTCTGGACTGGGCCGACACACTCATCA